ACGCCCGGGCCGGCACCTGGGCTGGCGGCCGACGCGCGATGCGCTGCCTCAAGCCAGCTTCCCGCAAGATCGGTCCAGAGTGGGAGGGGACGGAGCTGGGCGGGTGAAGGACCACCAGAGCACTGCTCCAGCCTTCCCTCAGCCCTGGGTCTGCTGACCACTCAGGAGCACGGCAGACCACACAGGAGCGCGGCAAACCACAAAGGAGCAAGGCAGACCCCAAATGAGCACGGCAGTCCACACGTTCGCACGGCAGACCGCACAGGAGCACGGCAGACCGCAAATGAGCACGGCAGACCAAGAAGGAGCACGGCAGACCACACAGGAGCACGGCAGACCACACAGGAGCACGGCAGACCACACAGGACACGGCAGACCCCACGGGAGCACGGCAGACCACACAGGAGCACGGCAAACCACACAAGAGCACGGCAGACCATACAGGAGCACGCCAGACCACACAGGAGCACGGCAGACCACACGTTCGCACGGCAAACTCCACAGGAGCACGGCAGACCCCAAAGGATCACGGCAGACCACAGGAGCACGGAAGACCGCACAGGAGCACGGCAGACCACACAGGAGCACGGCAAACCAAGAAGGAGCACGGCAGACCACAGGTCGTCGTCGTCGTCGTCGTCGTCTTCGTCAATAACGATCTCGAAAATTACGACAAAAAACGATGACAGAAAACGACCACAAACATAACACAAAAACAACCGAACACGGAATCCAACAACAAAAAAACAATCAGAAAAACGACCGCAATCATAAAATGATAACGACGGCGACAGCGAGAACGGCAACAGCGGACGATTATAATGAAAACGACGACCACGACAAAGGAAAGGCACGCGACGACGACGACGGACAAACAAAAGACAAGACAGGCTGGAACAGAAAAAGTAGGCTGGGCGACAACGGGTGGGGGCCCGCGTGGCCGAGAGAAAAAGCACGGTGTCGACACCATGATGTGGCCAGGGCAGCAGACTACCTCGACAGACCAGCGCGGCAGGCCACCATTTAGTCTGTTCTGTTGCGTTTATGGGTTTCTCTGACGTTCTCGCCAATACGGTCTCTGACGCACGTGGTGGATAAAAAACGGCGCTTCCCGTTCTTGTCCGGTCAGGTTCCCCAAAATGGCCATTTCGCTCGAGACATCCTCGAAAAATCGAGGTGTTGGAGGCTATCGTTTAAGACGTCTTATGTTAAAAATGACGGTTTCGCTCGAGACATCCTCAAAAATCGGGATGTTGAAAAATATCAAAAATTTTTGTTATGCATGAAAAATGAGCGTTTCGCTCGAGACATCCTCGAAAAAATGAGATGCCGACAGAGGTGTTTTACAACCTCTTATGTTAAAAATGACGTTTTCGCTCGGGACGTCCTCAGAAAATGAGCAGGAGCACGGCAGGCGGAAAAAAAGGAGCACGGCAGACCACACAGGAGCACGGCAGACCCCACAAGAGCACGGCAGACCACAAAGGAGCACGGCAGACCAAAGAGACGACACAAGGAGCACAGCAGATCCCGCAGGAGCACGGCAGACACCACACGAGCACGGCAGATCCCAAATGAGCACGGCAGACCACAGAAGCACTGCAGACCACACAAGAGCACCGCAGACCTCACAGGAGCACGGCAGACCCCACAGGAGCACGGCAGACCCCACAGGAGCACGGCAAACCACAAAGGAGCACGGCAGACCACAGGAGCACGGCAAACCACACAGGAGCACGGCAGACCACACAGGAGCACGGCAATCCCCACAGGAGCACGGCAGACCGCGCGCAGGTACAACATAAACGCGCCTTTTGTTGTACCCCGAACGCCGCTGGCGTTTCCCCCACAGGAGCACGGCAGACCCCACAAGCTCGCGGGAAACCCCAAATGAGCACGGCAGACCACAGGAGCACGGCAGACCACACAGAGCACGGCAGACGCCACAGGAGCACGGCAGACCGCGCAGGAGCACGGCCGGCGCCGGAAAATTGAATTCCGAGGCGGTGCCGAAAAAATGCCACTCCAAGACATATTTTTCTTTCGAAAATATTGATTTTCTCCTCCCGGCGCCCTGGAACCCCTTCCGGGCCGATTCCGGCACCCGGGCCGGCGCTCGAGCCAAACGCCCGGGCCGGCACCCGGGCCAGCGCCCGGGCCGGTTCCGGCGCCGGCCGGCGCCGGAAAATTGAATTCCGAGGCGGTGCCGAAAAAAGGCCACTCCAAGACATATTTTTCTTTCGAAAATATTGATTTTCTGCTCCCGGCGCCCGGGAACCCCTCCGGGCCGCTTCTGGCACCCGGGCCGGCGCTCGAGCCAAACGCCCGGGCCAGCACCCGGGCCAGCGCCCGGGCCGGTTCCGGCGCCGGCCGGCGCCGGAAAATTGAATTCCGAGGCGGTGCCGAAAAAAGGCCACTCCAAGACATATTTTTCTTTCGAAAATATTGATTTTCTGCTCCCGGCGCCCGGGAGGGAACCCCTTCCGGGCCGCTTCCGGCACCCGGGCCGGCGCTCGAGCCGAACGCCTGGGCCAGCACCCGGGCCAGCGCCCGGGCCGGTTCCGGCGCCGGCCGGCGCCGGAAAATTGAATTCCGAGGCGGTGCGGAAAAAAGGCCACTCCAAGACATATTTTTCTTTCGAAAATATTGATTTTCTGCTCCCGGCGCCCTGGAACCCCTTCCGGGCCGATTCCGGCACCCAGGCCGGCGCTCGAACCGAACGCCCGGGCCGGCACCTGGGCTGGCGGCCGAGCCGGATCCAGCGCTGGCGTCGGCTCTGGCCGTCGCCGGAAAAATTGAATTCCGAGGCCGCGCTAACAAAACTCATCCAAACAGATTTTTCGAAAGTGCATCATTTCTGCTCCCGGCGCTCGGAGGCTTCTGCGTCTCAAGGAGAGGTGGAGCAGACATTAAAGGAGGTAAAAGCAAGCACACGAACGCTATGGACGCGCGATGCGCTGCCACAAGCCAGCTTCCCGCAAGATCGGTCCAGAGTGGGAGGGGACGGAGCTGGGCGGGTGAAGGACCACCCGAGCACTGCTCCAGCCTTCCCTCAGCCCTGGGTCTGCTGACCACACAGGAGCACGGCAGACCACACAGGAGCGCGGCAAACCACAAAGGAGCAAGGCAGACCCCAAATGAGCACGGCAGTCCACACGTTCGCACGGCAGACCGCACAGGAGCACGGCAGACCGCACATGAGCACGGCAGACCAAGAAGGAGCACGGCAGACCACACAGGAGCACGGCAGACCACACAGGAGCACGGCAGACCACACAGGACACGGCAGACACGGCACGGCAGACCACACAGGAGCACGGCAAACCACACAAGAGCACGGCAGACCATACAGGAGCACGCCAGACCACACAGGAGCACGGCAGACCACACGTTCGCACGGCAAACTCCACAGGAGCACGGCAGACCCCAAAGGAGCACGGCAGTGGTACGTGGCACTGCTGTGGTATGCCGTACTAAAAACGTGGAATATCTCATAAACCCAGGGGACAAAAGGACGCTTCCCGTTCTTGTCCGGTCAGGTTCCGGAAAAATGGCCGTTTCGCTCGAGACATCCTCGAACAATCGGCTCCGGAGGGGACTCCGGACCGGCATTATCTTGGAGTCGCTCCCGGAGGGCTTCAAAACTGCCCAAGAGAGCCCCCAAAGGCCCCCCAGGGGACCCCCAAAACGGCCCAAGAGACCCCCAAGAGGCCCTCAAGAGGCGCCCAGAGGCCCCCCCGAGCGCGCGAAGAGGCCCCAGGACTGGCCAAGAGAGCCCCAAGACGGACCAAGAGAACGCCAAGACAGCCCAAGAGAGCCCCCACAGACCCTCGAGAGACGCCTGAGTCCAAGAGGGTCACAGAAGCCTCCAAGAGGCTCCCAAAATGCTCCCCACGGGCCCCAATCAGGCCCCCAGAGCCCCACGACAGTCCAAGATAACGCCAAGACAGTCCAAGATAACACCAAGACGTCGACGTCGTGTTCGAATCGCTCTTGGAGTGTTTTCCAACGGCCCAAGGGAGGCCCAAAAGACGCCCCGGAGAGCCCCAGGAACGCCCAAGAGCGCTCCCAGAAGACCCCCAGAGACCCCCAAGAGCGCTCTAGGAGCCACCCACACAGCTCACAAGAACCCCAAGACGGCCCAAGAAGGGCCAAGAAGGCCCCAAGAGACTCCCGGGAGCGCCCCAGGAGGCCCCCAGCGCCGAGACGGCCTAAGAAAGCTCCCACAGAACCCCACGACGCGCCCAGACAGCCCAAGAAGACCCCAGAAGCCCATAAGAGGACCCAAGGGGCCCCCAAGAAGCCCCCAACAGGCCCCAAGAGAACCCCGCGCGGCGCCAGGAGCAACGTCTTTCTCCAATTGCCTCGTACTGTCCTCTGTCGTCGTCGTCGTCGTCGTCGTCGTCGTCGTCGTCGTCGTCGTCGTCGCGTCCTCCGCATTCGTCCTCGTACTCGCCCTCGTTCTCTTCGTCATCGTCCTTGTGCTTCTCTTCCTCCTCGTTGTCCTCATGCTCCTCCGCGCTATCCTCACGTTCGCCACGTCGTCCTCGTCATCGACTCCTCGTTGTCCTCGCCTTCCTTTTCTTCTTCGCCTAATACGCCCAATAGACTAAAGCGGCGCTTCCCGTTCTTGTCCGATCAGGTTTCGACTGTGGTGTTTTGAAGATCTATCAGCACTTCTTCTCCCAGCGCTCGATTTAACCCCCAGTTGCGGGTCGGGGTGTGGCCGGCAAGACCACTGACCAAGGCTGTGGGGGCACCTTGGGACGTCTTACGTATGTTTCTTGGGGCGATGCGCATTACAATCTAGCGCGCGCGCTCCAAGCCAATGCATCGAGACGGCCTCGCGGGTAGCCTCCGCAACCATTTTGGCTCAAGCAGCTGGGGTTTCGCGACCCAGCTCGGATTCCTCAGCCGGCGGGTAACGGGGTTCAGCGCAAACGGGGCTCAGCAAGAGCGCCCGATCTCGCGTTAGTTGCTCTCGGAGCGCTCGTCTGCCGAACTCCATGGGGCAGAAGACATCTTTTGAGAAGACAAGCGTTCCAGACCCGCATCATCGGTGCCTGGAGGGGCATGCAGGCTGGGTTAGCTCAGTGGCCTTCTCGCCACATGACGCCAACATTCTTGCGAGTGGCAGTGGTGATCGGAAGGTGTTCCTCTGGGACCTCACTGCTGGCACTGTCTACCAGCGCCTGGAGGGGCATGCGGACTCGGTTATGTCAGTGGCCTTCTCGCCACATGACGCCAACATTCTTGCGAGTGGCAGTGCAGATTGGAAGGTGTTCCTCTGGGACCTCACTGCTGGCACTGTCCGCCAGCGCCTAGAGGGGCATGCGGACTGGGTTATGTCAGTGGCCTTCTCGCCACATGACGCCAACATTCTTGCGAGTGGCAGTGCAGATTGGAAGGTGTTCCTCTGGGACCTCACTGCTGGCACTGTCCGCCAGCGCCTAGAGGGGCATGCGGACTGGGTTATGTCAGTGGCCTTCTCGCCACATGACGCCAACATTCTTGCGAGTGGCAGTGCAGATTGGAAGGTGTTCCTCTGGGACCTCACTGCTGGCACTGTCCGCCAGCGCCTAGAGGGGCATGCGGACTGGGTTATGTCAGTGGCCTTCTCGCCACATGACGCCAACATTCTTGCGAGTGGCAGTGCAGATTGGAAGGTGTTCCTCTGGGACCTCACTGCTGGCACTGTCCGCCAGCGCCTAGAGGGGCATGCGGACTGGGTTATGTCAGTGGCCTTCTCGCCACATGACGCCAACATTCTTGCGAGTGGCAGTGGTGATCGGAAGGTGTTCCTCTGGGACCTCACTGCTGGCATTCTCCGTCAGCGCCTGGAAGGTCATTACGCATTTGGGATTATTACGCAACTGGCCTTCTCTCCACACGACGCCAAGGTTCTTGCGAGTGGCGATGGCTGTGGGAAGATTATCTTGTGCGGTGCTCCCAGGGTCAACATTGTCTTGAGTGTCCGATTCGACGTAGACAGCTTTAGTCCTTATGCAGCTCATGTGACAGAATTCTTGCGTAAGTACTACAATGTCCGAGTTTATTCAATCGCTTCGCTCACTCCGCCGGCCCGTATTGCATAATCGCTACTGCTTCGGCGCGGGCTCGGGGCCATTTCGGCGCCGCCGGAAGGAGGAAGATGAGAATGGGGAGGGGGAGGGGAGGAAGAGACGAGGATGAGAAGGAACGGAGGAGGATGAAGATAAATATGATGAGGAGGAGGTGGAAGAGAAAAGGGCGGAGACGGAAGCCTCTCGATGGCATCTTGCGGCGCTCTTGGGGCCAAACAGGGCCGTCGTCCAGATGCTTCTTTGGGAGGCCCTGAGGTCTGTTGAGAGGCCGTTTGGGGGCGCCTGGGAAACATTTTTGAAGCCTTGTGGGGCCTCTTTTGAGCCTCCTTGGAGCCTTCTGGGGTCTCTTGGGGGCCTGTTGGCGGCATCTTGGGCCATCTTGGGGGCCTCTCGGGGCCTCCTGGTGCCCTGTTGGGGCGGAAGGCTTGAGGTTTCGGCTCGTGGTCCCCATCTTGAGCCCCTCTTGGGGCCGTCTTGGGGCTCTCTTGGGCCGTCTTGGGCGTCTCTTGGGCCGTCTCGGGGCCCGTTTGGGCTCTCTGGGGGCCTTCTTGGGGGCCTCTTGAGCCGTCTTCGCGCGCTATTGGGGGCCTCTTGGGCCGCCTTGGAGCATGGGAAAGCCGAACATGCGACACGGCCAAAAGCCTCTCGGGGCGCTCTTGTGAGGCCTCTTGGAGGCCATTTGGAGCGTCTTGGCGGCTTCTTGGGCCGTCTTGGGATCATCTTCGGCGTCTTGGAGCGTCCTTTGGGCGTCTCGGGGGCCTCTTGGGCAGTCTTGGGGGCCTCTTGGGGCCCTCTTGGCGCGCTCTGGGGGGCCTGAGAGGCCGCACCCAGGAGGAAAACCATCTCTGAGTAGACCTTCCCGGGCTGCGGTCGGGGTACTTTTCGCCGGGGGACCCCCCGGGCCGCCCCGCGCGCCCGAACTAGAAGAATTGTGAACCAGTTAGTTACTGGAGATCTTAGCACGCCTCTGGCCCGTTGGGCCGGTGAATAACCCTAATAATTTCGGCAAGAGATACTGCGGACATGATGGATGCTGTGTTTTGTCTTACGGCTGCCAAATTGCGTTCGACCCCACGCAAACACCCACCAACAACGATTGCTGGCAGTCTTCCTATCGGTGGCACTGCGAGGGCAGGGGCTCGTGGTGTCGCGCGAACCTACCCGTGGTCATGCTTGCGATTGTCGAAGACGGAGTTCTTGGACCAGGACAGACGACAGAGAAGAGAATGGCAGAGCAGATGGGGATCCAGCGTCTGGAGGTACACACCAGGAAACTTCACATAGGGGAGCTGGGCGGGGCAGAGTTGGACAAGGCTCTGCTGGACGTCGCAAACCTCCTTAGGGGGCTGGAGTTCATCTGAGCGTGGCCTGCGTCGCAGCAGTAGTCCAGACCTCGGATGTCGTTTTTCCGTCTCGGAAGGAACCCGGCGCGAGCACAAGTAGGGAAACATTTCTTTTTGCATGGGCGCAGTGCTTGGCATTGCTTGGCACTGCCCCACTTGCGGGTCGGGGTGTGGCCGGCAAGACTCCAAGGCTGTGGGGGCACCTTGGGACATCTTACGTGTGTCTCTCATGGGGCGATGTGCACTACAATCTAGCAGGCGCGCTCCAAGCCAAGGCATCGAGGTGGCCTTACGGAGAAATGTACATCTGCTTACGCCGCCGGTTGAGTCAAGGAGGGCGAGGGTGTTTGTGATGGTCCAGGGTTTGGGATGTGCGATCTTCTTACAAGAGGTTGTCGTCATACTCGGAAGGAATTCCTGGTTCATATTGACGTTGCTATAGTATTAGTTGCATTGTCGTACTACGTCAGATCGGCGGCTTGATGTTCGTGACGAGTGTGTCGTGCGGGCAATTGTGCGCACATTTGCAAGATAGGAGAAGCTGCGCGTGATCTGGCACCGCAGGCAGTATTGTCGATGTGACTGTCGGGCTTGCGCACACGGTCGATGCTGAGCGCATTGAGTTGCATCCGACAGGCGAGGCGGACGAGGGCAGGGAGGTCGTCATTCCTCCTCCACTCTCCCTCGGCGAGGGGGGGCAGCAGAAGGAGGATGACGCGGCGTGGGAGGGCGAGGAGGCGCGGGGAGGAGGAGGAGGAGAAGGAGGAGGAGGACCAACGCGAACCCAAGAGCCACCAACGATGCTGGAATACTCCGCTCCCTCTTGATAGGGCCCTACGACGGTTCAACTCCATTGAAGGATTTTCCGCGTTGGGAGACAACCGTTCGAAGACCCTGAATCATGCCAAAAGATTGCTCTCGGGATTCCAACGCCACGGATCAACCTGACTGTTGCGCTTTGACGAACATGGATGGTGCAAGAACACCATTCTTGGGATTTCAACTCCGCGAATGACCGTAACTGTTGCACCCGCAAAATCATGAATTCTTCCAAAACGCTGTTTCTGGTACGTTGATCGTGGCAATTCGTGAAACCCTTCCAATTTTTTTAAACGAATGCGCGCGGCGCTAAGGCGAGAACCACATGTTGAAAAGAAACCGCCTTCAAGCCGCGAAACCCGTGCAACTTGTTAGAACGAATGTGCGCGGCGGTGAGGCGAGAACCACATTTTGAAAAAACGGCTTATCCTCAATTAGAGGAACTCTTGCAACTGTTTAGAACGAGTGCGCGCGGCGCTATGGCGAGAGCCACATGTTGAAAACCACCCGCCCTCCATTTGTGAAGCTGTTGCCATTTTTTGAGCTTCAGAGTCATGGTGAGGAAGTCTCAGACGAACCCCCCAGCCCGCCCTAAAAGTTGGCTTCGGGGTGCGACAAGGATAATTCATTTATCAGGAAAAGGAATGGAGGAGGAGGAGGAGGAGGAGGAAAAGGAGGAGGAGGATGAGGTGGAAACGAACGCAGAGGAGGAGAGGAAGCAGAAGGAGAAGCTGGCGCTTCGGGAGCCCCAGGCAGCCGGGCGGCGTTCCGGAGGAAGGGGAGCATCCCCCCAAGGTTCTTTTCTGAGCCCGTTCGGTCCCAGAGCGGGCAGCCGAAAGGGCTCCGTTCCGACCAGGAGGTCGTGGGAATCGAGCTTCGGGGGCCCCCAAACGGTGCGGTGACCACACTGTGCGGTGAGCCAGTTGGAATTCGGGGTCACCGCACGGTTTTGGGACTCGGGTCGTTCTCCGAGGACGTCTCGGGCGACTGGGGCCTTCGAGGTCCCAATACCGTGCGGTGACGGACCGTGCGGTGAGGTCTTGGGGGATTTCGAGGTCACCGCACGGTCCGTCACCGCACCGTTTCGGGACTCCAAATTCGTGGGGATCGAGCCCACTGCGGCCGCCGAGGTGGCCTGATGTCGATTGGCGCCACCCCAATATACCTCTACGACCACCCTTCGGGTGAGAAGGAGGTTGTGGGGGGGGAGAAGGGGGGGAACCAACATCTGACTCAATCGATCTCACTATCGATCTCACTCAACGGGACACCACGGGACACCACGGGACACTTGTCGATCTCACTATCGATCTCATTATCGATCTCACCCAACGAGACACCACGGGACACCGCCCGGGACACCGCGGGACACCTCTCGATCTCATTATCGGTCTCATTATCGATCTCACTCAACGGGACACCGCGGGACACCTCGGAACACCACATCGATCCCACTATCGATCTCACTCAACGGGACACCACGGGACACCGAGGGACACCTCGGTGCACCACATCGATCTCAGTATCGATCTCACTATCGATCTCACTATCGATCTCACTCAACGCGACACCACGGGACACCTGTCGATCTCACCGTCGATCTCACTATATCGGTCTCACTCCACGGGACACCACGGGCCACCACGGGACACCGCGGGACACCTCTCCATCTCACTATCGGTCTCACGATCGATCTCACTATCGATCTCACTCAATGGGACACCTTAGGACACCACGGGGCACCGAGGGACACCTGTCGATCTAACCATCGATCTCACGATCGATCTCATTCAACGGGACACCACGGGACACCACGGGACACGGCGGGACACCTGTCGATCTCACTATGGATCTCACTATCAATTTCATTTTTTGGGACACCACGGGACACCTCGGGGCACCACATCGATCTCACGATTGGTCTCACTATTGATCTCACTCAACGGGACACCAGAGGACACCACGGGACACCACGGGACACCTGTCGATCTCATTATCGATCTCACTATCGATTTCACTTTTTGGGACACCACGGGACACCACAGGACACCTCGGGGCACATCGTCGATCTCAATATCGATACCGGGACGCCCGGGACACCCAGGACACCGCCCGGCCCAAAACGGCCACCGGCGGACGGGAAAGGACGCCCGGGATACCGGGGACACCCGGGACACCGCCCAGCCCAACTGGCCACCGGCGGACGGGCACCTGGACTTTCGCTCCTATTTCGGCCTAGCTACAGGAGGATCACGCGCAGCTTCGCCTCGCCCGCGCGCGCGACACGAACACGAAACCGAAACCGATTTCCCGGTGGGGGGTCTCCGTTTCACTGCGATCTCACCCCCCAGCCTCCGATCAATTCTATGTGTGCGCAGCCCCCCCCCCCACAAGCAACGCGCGCGCCGAGGAATCTTCTAGTATAGTTGCTTCGTGGCCAGCGTTTTCCGGCAGTACCCGCTCGGGAAACGATCTATTACAATATCGTTACCAATACGACCGCCTTGCGGGCGATAAGGAGGTTGGGGGGGGATTGAGATCAAATGCCCACCCTGACTGACTCCAGCCTGTCACCTTGATCTCATATCTCTGTGGAAGAGATGGATTGGCTAAGATGAGATGGATTGGATTGGAAGATATGGATTGGATAAGATAAGATGGATTGGATTGGCCCGCCTTAGGCGCAGGCACAAGTGAATTGATGGATTGGGTTGGATGGATTGTAATGGGTGGGATAAGATAAGATGGGACAATATGGGTTGGAGAAGATAAGATGTATTGGATTGGACAAGATGGATTGGATAAGATACGCTGGATTGGATAAGAAAGCTCGCCGCAGCTGCCGACACAAATGAATTGATGGATCGGGTTGGGTGGACTGGATTGGATGGGATGCGATGGATTGGTGGATAAGATAAGATGGGTTGGATGGGAAGACATGGATCGGGTCGGATAAGATGGATTGGATTGTCCCGCCGCAGGCGCAGAAACAAATGAATTGATGGATTGGGTTGGCTGGATTGGACTGGGTGGGATAGAATAAGATGGGACAATATGGGTTGGATAAGATACAATGGATTGGATTGGACAAGATGGATTTGATAAGATAAGCTGGATTGGATCAGAAAGCCCGCCGCAGGCGCCGAAAAACATGAATTATGAACTTAGCATCATGCATTAGCGCCGGGACGCCCGGGACACCCGGGACACCCGGGACACCGCCCGGCCCAACTGGGACACCTCCCGGCCACCGGCGGACGGGAAACGGACTTTCTCTCCGTTAGTTCAATGATGGGATTGTTTGGGTGTCCACTGTCATGGCATCCGCAATAGGAGAGCCAACCGCCCGAGCCTTGGGAGGCCGAGGACCTCCTGGGCGACCTGCCGCCGGGCCCGGCGCTGGACGGCGAGGCCCGCGCGCCGCCCTCCCAACGGGAGCCGCTGCCGACGGGCTGCGACGACGGCCGCCGCAGCCCATCAGGGGCAACGATATGGTGAAGTCGGGCCTGTCCCTCTACAGGAGGTATTACACAAAATAGCCAATAGTCTGGGGATGATTTTCTTGTATTTTCGACTACTTCAGAATATGTTTTGACCATGTTTTAAGTTTCGTCCAGAATCCACCTGTAGGAGGACACGCCCGACCTAACGATAGGGTGGGATAGGCATAGAGGGGGATGCATCGACCCCGAGTCTTCCATTGATGGCCGGTAGAGGCCCGATGGCCCCAACCTGCCCAAGAGCGTGCGGACTCATTATCGAGGGCCTATCGTCGTTCTATCGGCGATGTATCGCCGATTCCAAGTCGACGGCGATGTATCGCCGATTCCAAGTCGATGTGCCCCCCCCCCCCTTGGCCAATCCCCCCCATCGTCGCCCTTCAGCTCAGACGGAGGGCGAGTTGAGGCAGCGGCTGCTTGCCCCTCGGGGGGGCCCTCCCTGGAGATCCGACGCTCCAAAACTGGGGCGAGCGGTTTCTGGCCCTTTTCGGCCTCCGGGGGCCCTCGCCGGGCCTCGGCAGCGTCAACAGGCGGGCCGGGATGGGAAAACGGCCCTAAAGGTGGGTGGTCCGCATCTCCAGGGCCCACGCATCCCAAACATTGGGGCAGCCAGATGCCTGGGTCGCCGCCACGATTGGACGCAGCTCGAACAGCACGCGCGTCTGGACCCCAGGGGGGTGTCCTAGAACTCTCGCGCGCGGTCCGTCGACCCACGCCCCTCAGTTTCAATGTTCGCGCGGGGCGCCGCGCGATCCGATTGTTCCGCCCGCCCAGCCCTAAAGAACACTGAAAGAGCTGCGAAACTCTCGAGCGTTTCGCCAAACGGCATCGGATCACTCGCACCGTTCCCCATTCAAGCGCGCACTCTCGTGACTCAGACCGCAACAGGGGGAATCACGTTGAGCGCGCCAAGGAACAAGAAGATGCAGGGAGAAAGAGGGGGAGGAGGATGGAGCAGGGACAGACAGAAAAGGTGAGAGTAACAGCGCCGTGCGCCACATATGCGAAGCGTAGCCTGGATCCGCGTACGCCGTCGTTCCGCAGGACCTTCCGGCAGCCCACGATCGTGGCGAAAGACTATCGCCGATAGTTACGGAGGTGGTATATAACCCGCCAGTAGTTTGGACGTTCGAAGAAAGCCCCATCCACGTGACCTCCCAGCAGCCCAAAAGCGTGGCAAGAGCCGCGCACGTGGCGGCACCCCCAGGGAGCCGCGAGGCCTCGTCCGGACGTGCGCAGGGCGCCGCTCTTCGGTGGGCACCCCGGCAGCCCGCAGCAATGGCGACAGTTGCGCAGGTGGCAGCCCCTGAGGTGGCCGCGAGGTCTGGCGCCGGGATGCGCACGGGACACTCCGCTGGACCTCCCAGGGGCGCACTGAGGCAACGACGGTTGCTCACGCGGCAGCAGTCCAGGGAACCGCGGGGTCTTGTCTGGAGGTGCGCGGGGCGCGCCCCTGCAGGACTTCCCAGGAGCCCGCGTCAAATGGCGGCAGGTGGGCACGTGGCAGCGCCCCCCCCCCCCCCGGGAGCCGCGATGTCTCTAGTCTGAGTGCGCGCGAGGACGCCACCCCGCAGAGGACTTCCCAGGACGCCCGCGAGAGCTGCGACGAGTTTGCGCGGGCGGCAGCCCCATCCTAGAGCCGCGGGGTCTAGTCAATGTCCCTCTACAGGAGTAAAGAGATAGTCTGTGTACGATTCGATGTGTTTATTATTGTAATAGTTGTGGAGATTGTTTTATTCGTCGTCCAACACCCGCCTGTCGGAGGACATGCCCGACCTACGTCTAGTCTGGATGGGAGTAGGGCGCCTTCCAGAGGAACTTCCCAGGAACCCATGACATCTGGGACGAATGCGCAGGCGACAGCACCACCCCCCCCCAGCCGCGTGGCCCAGTCTCGATGCGCGCGGGACGCCACTCCGCAGGACAAACGCTGCGACGGTGGCGCAGGCGGCAGCCGCCCCTGGGGAGCCGCGAGGTCTGGCCTGGACGCGCGCAGGACGCTGCCCCTCGAGACCTCTCACGAGCCCACGGAAGTGGCGACGGTTGCGCAGACGGCAGCCCCCCCGAGGGGACCGCGAGGTCTCGTCGGGGTGCGCGGAGGGCACCACGCCGCTGGACCTCCCAGGAGCCCACGAGAGCGGCGACGGTTGCGCAGGCGGCAGGCCCCCTCCTGGAGCCGCCGCGAGGTCTCGGCTGGACCCGCGTGCGCCTCCCCTCCACTGTGCCTCCCAGTCGCGCAGAAAAGTGTCGAGTGGACGACGAGTTGGAGGTAGGACAAGTGCAAGCAGGAGGCAGGAGGCAGGAGCTGAGAGGACGGATGCTTCAGTTCTCTGTGCAGAACAAGAGCCCGACGCAGGGTTAGGAGTACGCCCGCTAACGTATCGCGGGAAGTCGCGGATTCATTATACGGAAGCATCCTGTGGATAATGGAACATACAATTTTTGCATTGGGATCGAATTTCTGCATTGGGCTCGTCATGGAGCATGCCTGTATCCACTCGAGCATGCTGCTTCACAGTCTTCCGCATCTCTTGGCGAGTACTCATCACGTGCCTCGGCGTTCTAACCAAATCCTGTGGGTTTGCAGTGGCCCCCAGGGGCTTCAGAGGATTTCCCCTTCGCTTCCCTATGCGCCGATTGCCACAACGCTTGGGAATGCGGCGGCCTTCGCTTCGCCATGTTGGGAAAGGTCCCCGGGCGGCGCAACGTATGGCTTTAAATCGTTGCTCACGTGCGAACGATGTCGCCGGGAGGCACCACCCAAAACATGTTGATTCGTGTATGTGTTGTGTGAGCAGTATCACCGGGTTTGGGGCTGTTTGCGCTGCAGGGTTAAAGGCAAAGACCCTGCTCACAGGGACGACGGTGGGGAGGACGATGGGGGGGCAGGCGGAGATGACAATGGGGAACAGGCGGGAAAGACCGTGAGGAGGAGGATAAAGAGTCCGTGATGTTCAGTGACGGTAGACGCTGCATCAGGACGCACAGGGTATTTTGATTGCCGAATGCTCACGCGAGACGGAGGAGGAGGAGAAGGAGGAGGAGGAGGAGCAGGTGGAGCAGGAGGAGGAGGAGGAGAAGGAGGAAGGATCTGGATTTGAGGGGGATCTTGGCGGGTCTCGATCCCCGCCCCTCGACGCCGATGCGCAGGCAGATGAAGAGGACAGGGAGGGGTTGGAGAAAGCTTTTTGGCGGTCTTCGATCCCCGCCCTTCGACGAAGATGTGCAGGCGGATGGACCAGAAGTTAGGGGGTTGCAGGAGGCTCTTGGCGGTCCTCGATCCCCGACCCGCGACGCCGATGCGCAGGCTCCACGACAGTATACACGTCGGTCGTTGCAAGCATGTGATCCTGGACCCACAGGTCCCAGTCTACTTAAAGCGCCTTCCTGCTTCAAGACTCGATCAGCGTTTGATGTGTTCTGCTTTTTTGCCTGGGACGCCCTGCACCCAGAACCGCGTTTGATCCGCCCTCCCGCATCGTGGCTTTGCCTGCTTCTTCCGACCGACGTGTAGGCACGCGCGCGCACGGCGCACGGCCGCCGGCCCCGGCCACCGCCAGGCCGGCGCGTCCGAGGACCAGGCGCGCGCTCGCCCCCGCCGGGCGCTGCCTCCGCCTCGTTCGGATCGTCGGCCGCAGAGCTCCAGCGCACGGAACGGCAAAGCGTCGCCCCTGCGGCAGGAGGTCAAATAGCAGCTTCACGCGGGTCACGCTGGGGGATGGGGGGGCCACGGCGGGGGGCAACGACAGGGCGTCACGATGGGGGGGGGGGGGGGCACGATGTGGGGCCACGAGAGAGGGCCACGATGGCGGGCCACGGTGGCGGGGGCACGATGACGTGCTAGGATGGGTGCCCACTTTGCGGGGGCCACGATGGGGGGGTCCCTATGGGTGGCCACGACCTCCCATGGGGTTGCCAAAACTCTCGGACGCTGAGAGAGCCTGGCTGCGGATCGGCAGCCTGACGTTCAAGTCCTCGCGCAAGGTGATACATTGCCCTGGCCATCCAGTAGAAGATCGCGACTTTTCTCGAGACTCCGCCGGGCTCTATCATGTGGCGCGCGCCAGCCTCGGTCTGACTTTTACGTGCCCGCGCTGGGCGCACAACATCTCATCACATGTGCCAGTTCGGGGCCCGTTGCGTAAAGCCACATGTATTGCAGCATGACGTGCTCTCCCCCTCCAACGGCTCTCTCTATTCGTTGTGAGGGCGGTCGTGGTCACTGGTAAGCGAGCCAACAGTTGTTTCAATTTGCCGTGTCGGACTCGCGAATTGGGAACATCAAAGGTCATGGTCGGCCCCGGGATCTTCCTGCTGTGTTTTGTGTTGTCCCCGGCCAGCTCTCCATTCAGGCATGGATGTGTGCCTCTGGGCTTGGCGTGGACCGCTTCGACGTCATCGAAGCGTTGCCTGGTCAGCCTCTCACGCAAAAACAAGCCTGGCGTGAGTGAAGGCTTAGCGTGCTGCAACATGTCACATGTTCAGGCGCAGGCTGCCTGGATCCTGCAGCAATTGCCCGCTCAAGCCTTCCCTCCCTCTATTCTTCTCTCGCGTGCCTTTTGGTGCAGGTGTTTGTGCTGTCGTCCATATTCCTCCTCCCCTGCCTGTCATATGAACGGTAGTTCCGCTTACGTTGCTTGAATGCAGGGTGCGTGTTTCTGTGCTTGGCGTGATCGACCTCGACGTCATCGATGCGAAGCTCTGCATCGTCAGCCGTTCACACAAAAACGAGCCTGGCGTGAGTACAAGGTCGAATGGATGCATCTACACGCACATATATATATATGCATATGTAGGTTGTGCGTTTCTCTTTTTATCGCTCCTGCTCTCGTTATATTTCCCCCTCTCCCTCTTTGCCTACATATTATGTTGTTTGTGTTCTCTCTCTCTCTCTCTCTCTCTCTCTTCATCTCCCTTTCTCCCACAGGTGTGTTATCCATGCCTCTATCTCTATCTCTCAGCTTCTCTCTGTCTCTCCCTTTGTGATGTTTCCTATCTCTCTTTCTCTCTCTCTCTCTCTCTTCCTCTCTGTATCTCTCTCTCTCTCTCACTCCCTCTCCCTCCCCCTATACATATACAGTGCGTATCTTCTAACGCCCCTCACGAAGCTAGAATACCTCTTGATGCATTTTACTTTGTGCAGCGTCGTGCTGCCTCCTCCTCTTCCTCCCGTGTCCTTTCGCGGGAGGTCCACCGGTGAGGCTCCCGGAATTCCCAGAAGGATCTTGTATTCTCAAGGGGGTGCCAGGACCATCCGAAGAATTCGTTCATTGGGGTTCGGTATTCCGGCCGTTCCTTTTTTTCCTCCTCCTCCTCCTCCTCCTCCTCCTCCTCCTCCTCCCCCTGCTCCTCCCCCCCTGCCTACTAGTCATACTCCTCCTCGTCCTCTAGCTAGTCCTCGTGACTCTTCCCTTTCGTCCTCCTCCTTCTCCTCCTCCTCTTTCTGCTGCTGCTGCTCCTCCTCCTTCTCCTATTGTTCCTCTCCTCCCCCCTCCCTCTCTTCTGCGTGGAACCATCTGACCTCCTGGGGCTTCCTGAGACTTCTGGGTGCCTCTTGGGGATTGCTGGGGCCTGTGAAGATTTCTGTTGCCTCCTGCGGCCTCCTGGAGCTTCCTGGAGCTTCTTGGACCCAGCGCTTCCTGGGACGCACTGGATCCTCCTGAAGCCTCCTTGGGCCTCCTGGGTCCTCGTGGGACGTGCTGGGTCCTTCCGGGGCCTCCTTGGATCTCGTGGCGCCTCCTGGGGCCCTCTCGGAGCCTCCTGGGCTTTCTGGAGCTTCCTGCGACCTCCTGAGGCTTCCTGGAACCTCCGGGGGCATCCTAGGCCGTGGAGGGCAACCCGAGAGAGTCCGCTCCAGGAAGCTGTCCCCATCTTTTGCTGTGCAATTTGCCTTCCCCTGACCCTTCTGTTGGGCCCTCTAACAAGCCAATACCAGCCTTACTAGCGACGACAGCTTCGAGGATGGGAGCCTTCCCGTTGAGAAATGGGGCCAGGTGAAAGTTCAAACTGTGACAATGATGTCACATTTGAGGCCCCAGATCATCTCGGACTCCCCGCGGGAATCTTGATCGCCTTCGTCACGGTGCGATATACCTTCCCCTCGATGTCCCTCCTGGCCACCCGGGGGTGGGTTTTCTTGATTTCGTTGGTAAGAAACACGTCACCACCTTCTTGGCGGTGGCGGAGGGCAGGTGGCTGGGGTGAACGGGTTGGCTGGGGGGCGGGGGGGCGGGATGGTTGGTCGGGTTAGTTGGTTGGCTCTTTGGTTGGGTGGCAGGATGGCTGGTTGGGTTGGTTGGCTGGTTGGGTTGGTTGGTTGGCAGCTTGAACTGGCTAGGGCATTTGGTATCGATTCCTTGCCTCTCTTCCTCTCTCTTTTGTCATACCCCAGCCTTCCCTCACCACCTAATATCTATGTCTCTCTCTCTCTCTCTCTTTCTCTTGCGTGGGTCTCTCTCCTCCAACCTTCCCCCACCAACTCTCTCTGACTCTCTATGTTGTTATCCCTCTCTCTCGCTTTGTCTTTCTCTCTGTAGATTTCTCTCTCTCTCTCTCTCTCTCGGCATGTTGTTTCTCTCTCCCTCTCTCTCGCTTTAGATATGGTATGTGTGTTTGGTTTCTATTCGTATACCTATACACATCATCCCTTATGTATGTATACTCAGACTGAAAGTCAATATCTCTCTCTCTCGCTCTCTGTTATCAAACCTTTTCCACCATCTGATCCTCTCCCCCCCGATTTGCTCCTCGTGCTTCTAGGTCGTGCTTCTGTTCCCCCTCCTCTTCCTCGTTCTCGCGCCCTTCTCCTCCTCCTCCTGCTCCTCCTCCCCCTCCTCCTCCTCCTCCTCCTCCTCCTTCGCCCCTCCCCCTCGTCCTCCTTCTCCTCCTCCTCCTCCTCCTTCTCCTCCTCCTCCCCGAGCGGAGGACGACGCAGTGATTGTTAAGAGGCGCATGTCAGCACGCAATGCGTTGCTGGACCAGGCCGCTGATGCAGCCCGCGGGAGCCGTCGTCGCCGCCGCCGCCGCCGCCGCCGCCGTGGTCGTCATCAACGACCGCCGACGCCGCCGCCACCGTCGCCGCCGCCGCCTTTGTTTGTCGTCGTCTTCTTCGTCGTCGTCGTCGTGGTGGTAGTGGTCGTCGTCGTGATCGTCGTCGCCGTTGTGGATAAACCGCTGTTTTTACTGTCGTCGTAGTCATCGTTCTCGCCGTCCGACCAGAGGCCGCTCGACATCGGTCATGGGACCCCTCCCGAGGAGAGGGGGGATGGCGAGGAGGAGGAGGACGAGGAGAAGGAGGAGAATGAGGAGGGGGAGAAGGAAGGAGAGGAGGAGGAGGGCAAGAACGCCCACGGTCAAAAAACTGCAACATGAGCAGATCTCATCCGGCGGGGCTAACGACACGCTTGAATCCGCTCGGGAGCGTTCCAGAACGTTCTCAGAGCGTTCCGGAACGCTCCGGGAAGGCCGCGGCGCCCGACACATCTCTCAGAACCGCCAGATCTCAGAGAACCCCGGTTTATCTCGGTCCGATTCTATCCTCGGTCTGCCTTCATCTTATCTCAGGGGGATCACACGCCGACGGGGAGCGTCTACATCGGCCTTGGGCCTGGGATGGCTCGACCAGGACGGGCGGCACGCGAGGAGAACTGCCGTGCTCCCAGATCGACGGCCAGCCCGAGGGAAAGTGATGGGGGGCGGGCCTTCTCAGAAAGCCCGGAGGTCTCCAGGCCTCCTGATAAGTTTTCAAATGCTTCTCAAAAGTCGCAACACACAGCTCAGAAGGCTGGAAGGCGTCTGAGAATCTGGAGCCGTTTTCTGAGAAGGTCTCCTGCTTCTCACTTCCCCCCCGCGCTCGCCGCCGACCCTGGGGATGTTCCTCCTCCCAGCAGGTTCGAGACCTTGGAAACGAATGCTGAGGGAGCCGTTGCCTTCGTAAGACGCAGCAGGAATATCATCAGATAGTTGATGCTGGACTCTGCCTAATGGTTTTATCGTTGTCGGAGCGACGAGCCAGAGGTCTAGCATCTTAGTAGCGCGTTCATCACATCGCAACCTCGCCAGTCGCAGTTCTACTTCGCTCGCCGCTGTCCAGAGGCACTGGCCAGCGCCCCCCCCTGCAGGACGTGGCCGCCGCTGGCCCGTGCGTCGATCCAAGGGGGAACCATGCCCAGAATTCCGAGGGGCACGCTGGGTCTCGACCACGGTGCGTCCAGCTGGCACTGTCGGCACGGGTGCGGAACGACGGGGCACGACTGTCAAAAAAGCGCTTCCCTTGTAGCCGCACCGCGGTGCGCCCAGCGCCGGCACGGTCGACATGGGCACGGAAAGAGGGGGCACGAAGACCACGAGTTGTTCCCCCGCGGGAGGTCTCTTTCTTGCTTCTGGCTCCCCGTCCCCCAGATCTCTTGGCCAGCAACAGATTCAGCGCGTCCCCCAGTTGTCCCTTGTCGTTCTCCTCCTACTTGTCTTCATCCTTCTCCCTCATCCGACGACGGCTGCGGCGGTGGAATCACTAGTTGCCAGGTATTGTTGGGTGTCGGCATCCCTCGATGAGCCCCCCGAGAAACATGTGCCGATCACTGGGGGGGCATCAACTTGACGAATCGCAGTTAATTCCGTCTTGAGAGCGCACGCGCGCGAATTAGCGGCTGGTACGCCAAGAGAGAACACCGAGTCGGTTAGCGCCGAGTAGCGTCGGTCAGCGTCGATTCGCAAGAGCCAACCAGATGACCAGGGAGGCATGCATGAATTGCCGCAGAAGGGCACGATGAGCAACAGAGGTTCCTATCAATTTAGAGCAGGATTTGCTGTCAGCGTCAATAGGACGTAGTTCATTTGAGACATGAAACGCCTGCACAACAGCGGCCGCTGTCGGGTTTGAACAGCATTTCCTGTTCGGCATTGTGACCGTGTTTTCCATTCCAATCCTGGGCGTGCTAGGTTATAAGATATGTACATACATATGTTTATGTATATATATATGTTTGCACAGATATGTATGTATATTGGCCAGGCCCGCTGCGTTGTAGGAGATGGCCAGGTTTCGGGATAGGCGCAGCGAAGAAAATGGATCCTCAGGGATTCGGATCTCAGACCCTCAGGCGTAGCCCCAGCATCCAGGTCTTCATCCTAGGGCCTGCGGGGGGCCTGGGCGCCCGCGCGGCGAAACCGTTCCACGATCCTTGAGATCTAACGTTCGAAGCAGAAAATCGCCATAAACATAAACTTCTGGCGCTCCGCGCGGATTTCTTGGATTCGCGCTGGGCCCCCCCACCGGCGGCGCCTCTGGCGCCGCCCTTGGATGGCGTTTTTCCTTGTTCTAAACGTTGCGGACAATGGCAACATCGCGAAACGTCCCGACTGCAGAGCCCCAGACCTCACCTCTCTGCTTCCTTCTTCGAGCCACGTCGTCTGTGACGGCCACGGGACCCGGCACCGGGGCGACTGCGCCCGACGTGCACAAGCTGCAACGCCAGGATCTCAGGGAACCTTTGCCTCCAGGACCCGCGGGCCCCTCACGCTGAAATCGGGGATCCTGCTCGTCGGGCCAAGTCCCCCGGTGCCATGCCTTTTGACGTGGACCCCCTGCAGGGTCTGGACCTGTTCCCCAGGACAAGGCTTGTCCACCTCAGTTGGTTTCTGTGTCCCGGTGAGGCCCCCCCAGAAGCCGATAGCAAAAATGCCCGATTCGGAAATCGGAAAATATGCATTACCATTATGTCGGGCGTGTCCCTCTACAGGAGAAATCGCAGGTTGAGGGTTGAGATCGCAGTGGAACGGAGACCCCCAGCTGGGAAATCGTTTCGTTTCGTTCGTGTCGTGCGTGCGGGCGAGGCGTAGCTGCGTGGGCGCGCGAGAGGATTGAACCCGCCGTTGCTAGGGCGAAGTCAAGACACATGTTGCTCCGCCATCCGTCCGTCCGTCCGTCCGTCCGTCCGGCGGTGGCCCTAGCTGTCCTGCGGTGTCCCGTGGTGTCCCGTGGTGTCCGCCGTTGCTAGGGCGAATTCAAGACACATGTTGCTCCGCCATCCGTCCGTCCGTCCGTCCGTCCGTCCGGCGGTGGCCCTAGCGGTGTCCCGAAGTGTCCCGTAGTGTCCTGTGGTGTCCCGTGGTGCCCGCCGTTGCTAGGGCGAAGTCAAGACAAATGTTGTTCCCCCGTCCGTCCGTCCGTCGGCGGTTGCCCTAGCGGTGTCCCGCGGTGTCCTGTGGTGTCCAGTAGTGTCCTGTGGTGTCCCGTGGTGTCCCTTTGAGTGAGATCGATAGTGAGATCGATAGTGAGATCGATATTGAGATCGATACTGAGATCGATGTGGTGCCCCAAGGTGCCCCGTGGTGTGCCGTGGTGTCCCAAAAATTGAGATCATTAGTGAGATCGATAGTGAGATCGACAGGTGTTCTGTGGTGTCCCGAGGTGTCCCGTTGAGTGAGAATGATAGTGATATTGATAGTGAGATCAATTCTGGAATCGATGTGGTGCCCCGAGGTGTCCTGTGGTGTCCCAAAAAGTGAGACCGATAATGAGATCGATAGTGAGATCGACAGGTGTCCCGTGGTGTCCCGTTGTGTCCTGTGGTGTCCCGTGGTGCCCGCCGTTGCTAGGGCGAAGTCAAGACAAATGTTGCTCCCCCGTCCGTCCGTCCGTCGGCGGTTGCCCTAGCGGTGTCCCGCGGTGTCCCGTGGTGTCCCGTAGTGTCCTGTGGTGTCCCGTGGTGTCCCTTTGAGTGAGATCGATAGTGAGATCGATCGTGAGATCGATATTGAGATCGATACTGAGATCCATGTGGTGTCCCGTTGAGTGAGATCGATGTAAGATCGATAGTGGGATCGATGTGGTGTCCCGAGGTGTCCCGTAGTGTCCCGCGATGTCCCATGGTGTCCTATGGTGTCCCGTTGAGTGAGATCGATAGTGAGATCGATAGTGAGACCGATAGTGAGATCGAGAGGTGTCCCGCGGTGTCCCGTGGTTGCCCGTGGTGTCCCGTGGTGTCTCGTTGAGTGGGATCGATAGTGAGTTCGATAGTGAGATCGACAGGTGTCCCATGGTGACCCGTGGTGTCCCGTGGTGTCCCGTTGAGTGGGATTGATAGTGAGATCGATAGTGAGATCGATTGAGTCAGATGTTGATTCCCCCTCCTTGCCCCCCCTCTCACAACCTTCTTATCACCCGAAGGGTGGTCGTGTAGGTATTCAAAAAATGCCAAAACATCGTATGGAAAGACTTTTCTGTTATTTCTTGGCTACTTCAGGGTATTGTGGGGGTATCTTTAATTTCGCGTGCAAAATCCGCCTTTAGGAGGACATGCCCGACCTAACATTACCAGTAGCGGGCAGTTCTGTCAATCCCCAGATTGTTTGAGGGTCGGGTTCGACGTCGGGGTGGTGTAGTGCATACTTGTTGTTGATCCGTTTCCCGGGGAAACAACGAAACATGTATACACCAGGATCGCGTATACAGCAGGATCCATTTGCTTGTTTGCAAATTTCAGTTTAGGTGCGGACGAGCGTCGGTGTATAGAGTTCGGTTCCCTACACGTTGTTCATTACTACTTCTTCGGAAGTTCTTTGATTGTTTTGAGGGCCAAGATCCTTACATTCCTACTGTTCTATCCTGGGATTCTTTCTGGCCAGTAGGGGGCCAGGAACAGTTATCAACAAGTACAGTCAGAAATGAACACGAATAGGATTGAACGACGTGTAGTTTTTTTTTGAATTCACGCGAGGGGGCCTGGGGGAGGGGCGCAGCCAGTCTGACAAGTCGGTCTGCGAGGCATCCGCGCGGCGCGGCACCGAGCGGCGCGGCAAGAGCTCTCGGTCGATCGACCCTGCGAGGCTTAGGTCGGGCATGCCCCTCTACGGGAGGAAGGGTCAAGAATAGTAAAACGATGGTCTGGTCACGATGTATCGTGCTCTCTCTTACCAGTCTGGATCACCTCCACAACACGCCTGCAAGAGATGACGTGCCCGACCGAATGCGAGGCGGGCAGCGCGGTGAAGGCGTTCCAGATGCTCGACCTCAACAGCAGCAAGACGATTAGCAGAACGGTCAGAGCCCGCCCTGCGCCCTGCCCCCGAGACCCGAGATCCAGGCGTCCCGGCCTCCCCCAGCCAGCGTTTTCGCCGTGGCTGCGGGACCCAGCGCCCTCACTGATCGATCCGGCTCTAGGGGCGCAGCCGAAAGATGGGGTCTAAGGCTCCAGACGTGTTGCTGCGATTTGTTTTTTTGTTCGCAACGTCGGATCCCGCCCTGCTTGGTAAGGCTTCGGGTTGCGCACAGACCGCGCCCCAAGATAGTCCGGGCTGGCCTCAAGAGGCCAGCGGAGTACCTCGTCCTGGGCGGTCTTCACACCATGGCGCCACCTCTGGCGGCGCCCCTGGGACGATCCGTGCCCCAGGGTTGATGTGTTGAGACCGCCCCGGACTACTCGGGGGGCCTGTTGATGCCGGCTGGGACAACTTACCTGCGGGGCTGTCTGTGCGTACTGCGAAGCCTCCCCAGCCCTGCTCGGAGAAACAGGCAGTCGAAAAAGCATGATTTGTCTAGCGTCTGAGGCTTGTGATTACGAGATTGTCTGGTTCGCAGTCGGTTTGCCATGAGCCGCTTCATGGCCAAGCTTGGGGTGAACTCGTTGACCTCTGCTGGAATCGTTGGCCCTCGGCGCACCAAGTCCTGGGTATGTACTAAAGGGTTCCTAAAGACAAGCGCACGCCAGCGTTGCCGCGCGTCTTCCGGATCATCGATCCCGTGCGCCTGTTGCGGGGTTGGGAACGGGCGAGGGCCCACGAACAGTCATAGCCACCAGAGCCCAGTGCGTCATCATTTTTACCCCGGGGGGGCCGCAAAGACCCAGGCGAGGGCGGTCTACAGTATCAGGGTTGATGTCATCGTTCCGTTGGCTGGTCGACTTCGTGTTTGGGGGTACTGTTATTGTTTTGATGTTCCAGGCTTATGTTTGCATTCTTTTTTGTTCATTAAACGAGCCAGTGTTTTCATCCTTTTCAGTGGCCAGGTTCGGCTCAGAAGAGCTCCGAAAGTTGCCCCAAACAACAGACCAGCATTGACAGCATTGCATCGAGGTGCATTCATCATCCGGCTGGATTGTCTCAATTCTTCCAGGGCGCATCACTGATGGACGTTCGCACTGCTTGATGGGACAAGGAGTTCATGGAATTCATAAGTGAGAGTGCATGGGCGGGTCGCTGGCCGTAGCGCGCGGGCCATCGCACACTTCTCCTCCTCAGGCTGGCGATGTGAAACCTCCAGCAGTTGTGACCCCCCGGGCGCGAGAGTCATCACCGCCGAACAAACTACCCCAACCCAACCCGAAGGTTGCGATTTGCCGGCCAGTTCAAGGGGGGGGATCGGGGAACACGGACAAAAACACATGTGAAGCCCGTACCCCCCCCCAATCCGAAGTTAGGGTCTTCGGGTTGGGTTGGGGTGGTCTGGTAGGTAACTCAGTCAAGTCAGCAAGCACGGGCGCCCACGCGAATGGCACCCAGCGCTGTGGGCGGCACGGCCAGAGACAGGCCAGCGCCAGTGGAAAAGGAACCCGCACACTTCTACCCTTCGCCTCGTCTTCCATTTGTTGGGGGGCCTCCTGGGAGACCGACCCTCGTCGCAACCGCTGGATTCGCCTTGAACTTCCGGGCAGATATCGCCCCGGGAGAGGTCCGAGGAGTAACGGTATCGGTACCTTTTGGTTTCCCTCCCCAGAGACCCCGACTGGCCCGCGCGCAGAGGACGGCCTTCTTAGACACCACCACACGGCTCAGCGGACAAGCACACACGCACATAAACATATCGGCTCCTGAGCTCGGGGGCGACGACCAGGGGGGGATAGGCATACCGGGGGACGCATCGACCCCCAATCGCCCACTGATCGCCGATAGGGGCCCGACAGCCCAAACCTGCCCAGGAACGTCCGGATTCAGTATCTGGGGCCTATCGCCGATCTATCGGCGATGTATCGCCGATTCTGGGTCGATAGGTCCCCCCTCTGCCAGTCCCCCCCGATCGTTGCCCCTCATGAACTTGGTTACGCTGTTTTCCTCGAGCGTTGCTGTTTTTCCGCTGGGGCATCCATCGGGCTCCGGAGTTTTCCCTGAAGGCTGGTATGTCTTCCATCTTCTCTCCCACATACCCGGCGTGTCCCATGCACCCCCCCGCAGGATGTGTTGCTTGTCTCGTCCAAGGATTTTGTGTACCGTTGACCTCCACCGGCACCGCCAGAGCCAGGTGCGGCCACGAGCGCGCCGCGCTCCATACGCCGAGGGGCTTCTCTGCAAAAGTTCACGGCGGCGTCAAAACCCACAACTGACATGATCATCGACTGAGAGCTTTTGGGGGGGGGTCTGGCGCGCTGCTTGCCCATCTAGTGTGCCTCTTCCTGGCGTGTACTTGGTGCCACGCGCCCGATTGCGCAACGAGCTTCCCAGTCAGCGGCATTCTCTGCACATGCCGGCGCTGCGTTTTTTTCAGTGCGGCGGGCTTCGGGGAACACCTCCCAGCGCCTTCCATGCTGATTTGCGATGTTTCTGCCGCATCCTCCGAAGAGCGCCGCTCTCCACAGCCGAGGAGACCCGACAGAACCTCCTGCGGTACTGCCGAAGCTTCTTGTGCGGAAGCTGCCGAAGCCCTCAATACGTGATGCGTTCCAGCAACGGCCTCGCCGTCGAGGATCGAAGGAGTTGCCATCTCTTCCGCCGCGGCAGGCGGCGGCAGGGCGGCGGAAGGTCGGCGGAAGGAAACCGAGGCCGCCTCCGCCGGCGGAAGCCGGCGGAAGGGCGGCAGAAGGCGGCGGAAGTAAAAGATGCGCCCCAAGAGATGAAGGCGTTTTTCAGCCACGCGCAGAGGGGGTTTGGGGGAGCGGGGAGGGCTTCTTGGAAGCACCCCTGCTTCTTAGTAGAAGGCGCGGGCCTTATCTATAGATGTAAGGCCGGCGCCTTCTAAGAAGCAGCCTCGCTATAAGAAGCCCTCCCCCCTCCCTCCACCACCCTGTGCGCGCCGCCAAGTTTCTGGGTTCAGGGTTCCCGAGATTGCCCACGTGGTCCTGGAGTTGCCCGAAGCACGTGCGCAAAAACCCTCGAGAGGAGACCTCCGGGGAGACCCACCCAAAAGGGGCGTTGGAGGAGGCTTCCGAGGAGGCCCGCCGCAAGGGGCGCGGCGCGGCGCGCGTCGCGCGGCCCGCAGGAGTTCACTGCTGGCATGTGGCAGACCCTCGGCAAGGACGTGGTCAAGAGGCCCCCTCCTCTTCAGGGTTTCTCCGAAGGGCTTTGGCGACCCGTCCTCCTCTTCTTCCTCCTCCTTCTCCTCCTCCTCCTCCTCCCTCCTCCTCCTCCTCCGCCTCCTCCTCCTCCTCCTCCTCCTCCTCCTCCTCCTCCTCCTCCTCCTCCTCCTCCTCCTCCTCCTCCTCCTCCTCCTCCTCCTCCTCCTCCTCCTCCTCCTCCTCCACCTCTTCCTCCTCGGGTCGCCTACGGCCCCGGGGGAAACCGTGTACCCTCCTCTTCCTCCTTGGCCGCCTTCGAGTAGGAGAACGACTACATAATTTAGCCACCCCAAACTAGATGTGGTCATCGAATCTATTATGAAGAAAAGCATACGTGTAATGATCCGTAGATCTACTGAGCATCACACGTAGCCTTGGCAGATTCGACGGACTTGAATTTTGAGGCAAACGGATTCAGTAGTCGATCCCTTGTTCGAAGCCTCATTCCTTATCTTTGCTGCGTCTCTCTCCTCGTCCTCATTGTCCTGCTCTTTCTCTTCCTCTTCCGATCAGCTGTTGCAACTTGGAGTTCCAGTCTCATCAGTTGGAAAGCTTGCAAATTCCATGATGACCTGGCGCCCTTCCCCGCCGCAGAGAGCTGGTGCCGTGTCTTGCGAGTGGGTGATCCTTTTTGGCAAAAAAACAACGGCACAAGCATACATTGCCTGAGGTCTGTGCGGGATTCGCGCCGCACCCCCCTCCGTGTCGCGCGGAGCGCGCCAGGGGCGGCGCCGGAGGCGCCGCCAGGAGGGCCCCAGCGCCGATCCGAGGAATCCGCGCGGACCGCCGAGTTTTTTTGCTTGTGTCATTGTTTGGTTAACAACAAGCAGGGAGGGGGCTGAGCTGATTGTGCCGGGTTGGGCACTACCGCTTCGCAAGAAGCGAGCCAAACGAGCAACAACAAGGGCCCGACGCCCACCAACCGTGTGAAGCGCGGTGCCAGCAGTTTTGCAGCAAGCGCCTCGATTGGGCCTTTTTCTGTGCACTGACTCGCCTCCCTCGCTGGCAATGCGCGTGGTGACCAGGGCCACCTCTGGCAGCATTTCGTGTCTGTCCACAGCGCATATGGCTTTGCTTTTGAAAGCGCCCTCATGGCTGTCGACCCTTCGGTTGATGCTGCGAGGAGGACGAGGTACCGATATCGCTACCATTCGCCCGTTTCCCTTTTTTTCTCTTCCTCCTAGGAGGCCCTCGTCGGCACCGCTGGATTCGCTTCGAAAGCCTGGTCAGAACGCAAGGTCTGGAGAGTAGCGGCATCGGTACCTTTTGGTTTCCCCAGATGCCCCTGACGGGGGTATGCGGGAAGGTGAGAACTTCTTTGGCGTATCCAGCCTTCTGTTCGGAAGCCGCACTAAGTCTGACGAGGGCTATCCTGCGTCGACCCAGACTTGTTCTCAGCGGCGAATGTAACAGCCGACGTCCTCGCTGGAATTCGTGTCACTGGGAGCGCGTCGCTCAGGAATTCTATTGGGCCCACGGCGAGCCGTGTCTGGTATCCGAAGTGCCAAGACCTTGGGCCGATAGATTATTATGAAGAGGTTGGGCTGAGTGGCATTGGTGCGTCGAAGTTGTTTCACTGAACGTTCTGCACGAATTCGGGCACTTTCTAATAGACTCTGCCTCGTGCGGCTATGGCTTTCCTTGAGCTTGCTCTCCGCTGCCAATTTTCTCGACCGGCCACGACGTCTTTCGGGCGACTACATTGACAAAATCACGTCGCGAAGAAGAAGGCACCGCATGAAGATAAACTTTGGAGACCTGCGCTGCTTTCTTGGATCTAACCTGAGCCCCCTCCTGGCGGACATCTGACACGTCATGTCTTAGGAGTTATTTCGTTTCTTGCTGCCGAAGAACGGCCCAGCTTTCTTCAGGAAGGGAGGAACACACACAGACACAATAAATCGTCGATTCCCCCGAACACATGGAAAATATGGGATGTGGGAAGGAAGACGAAAGTCCAGAACACCTGAATCAATACTGGGAATCTTGGGACTTGCGTGTATTCACCTGTGTGTCCCGGGCCTCATTCACCTCTTCCTCCACCACGCATTCGTCGACAGAAGCAGCGTGAAGTTTCCGCTGCAGCGTCTCGAGGGCGCCAGCACGTGCCGGGGCTTCCAAGAAGCCATATATCTCTCTTGCTGGTGCCAACCTCACGGGCATTCTGAACGGCGGCTGGCCATCCGCAGGTCCAGATCTCCTCGCACAGGACACTGGCTGGGGAGCCTGACCGCCTCTGAGACCATCTGCTGGCCGGGCACTGGTGCTGCCCTACGCGCTTACAGCGAGCAGGCCTGCGCCCAAGAAGGTATATCGGTCGCCGCGCTGGCGACGAGGGCGATGATTGGAATTGTGGTGGCCAGCGTGTGCTTCGGAGTCGCATGAATACAAGAGGCACTGAGTATTCACATTACTATGGCACCATCAGGATTGCCATCATGATGCGTGGCGTCTCGAGAGCATTACCATAACGTATGCAAACATTAAACGTTCCATCGGTAGTTGCTTCCACTGAGTACCTGCCACTATCAGCTACAGTACGCGTTGGTCGAGACCCTACTGGCGCAGGTCCGCAGTAATTGCTCCTCTGTGGCGAACGCACCGTCCACTGCATGATTAGCGTTCCCGAGTATAGTATAGTTGCATCGTCTGCGTCTCTCAGTGGCACTTCTTCATTCAATCCTCGCGCGTCGCTCATCCCCACCACCCCTTCCAGAACCAACCGTCGGGCGAGGTGTCTCCTCGATCAGAGCAGTACCAGGCCATCCAGTGGAATAGACAGGTGTGTAAGCCCTGATGCCTGGGCTCGACATCAGCCTGGGCATAGCTAGGAGTGGAGGGGGTGAGCAAGCCGTCAAAGAAGAATGGTGAGGAGATTGTGGAGAGGAAGGTCGAGACGGATACAAGGGGAGGCGGGAGGAGGGAGGAGGATCAACCAGGAGTTCGGAGGAGGAGGAAGTCGAAGAATAGCAAGAGCAAGAGTACGAGGAGGAGGATGGAGGAGGGAGGACTGGGGGCGACGACGACATCAACGAGGACGAGTTCGACGACATCGACAGCAGGAGTCAATCATCATGCCGATCTTCGCGGATATTTCGCTCTATGGGTTTCTTGAGTTCCCATTGGAGCAATATCGGAGGCCTTTCAGCCTCCGGTGGCATCTTTCAAAACAGGATGTCATTACTTCGCATTGCCCAATCAGGGTCCGACATCGTTTCTTGTGGCATTCTTGGCGCGCTCTCGGGGCTCTGCTGCGGCAGTCCTGGGCAGAGGCCGATCGGAAGCGACAGTGCGCGAATCCAACGAGTATCGGAAACATGCGACGCGTGATTCTTTCGGCCTCGGTGGGGTCGCCTCCAGACGCTCCGTGGCCGTTTGGAGCGGTCTTTGGGCGGCCCTGTGGCATGGCATCGAGGGCGGGACCGTCCTGCCTCATCTCGGAGGCCACAGTGAGCCGTCTGAAGCCATACAGTCAATACGCTGAGATGAGAAGCAGGGTGCGCCCGAGAGGGATTCGATGTTCCGTTGCTCTTCTAGCCCTCCTCGTGCACGCTGGCGCTGTTGGGGCCAAACAGGAGCTTCGTTCATTATGTACTCTTACTTATTTTCAGAGGCCCGAATGTATTTTCGCCATGCTGGCCCGTTGGCCTTCCAGCCAGGCCCCCGAGATTCCGCAATATTTCAAACGTCTACAGTCGAGCCGCTGCAGAAGGACCCCTTTTCGATGGGGAGGGGCTCAATGGTCCGTAACGGTTGTTCATAATGTCTTAGGTGTTCCTTCGGTTTTCGATGGGGGGTCGACGTTGAAATTCTAAAGAAAAAAGGGGGGCCTCGTCCCTTATTCAGGATACCTGATGACAGCGTTTCGATTGTAATATTTCAAACATCTACGGTGTTTCGGTGACTTCGGGTTTGAGCAAGTGGAGCGGCGCCCATCACCGTCATCCGCCTTGAGCCCGTCGCTTGCCTCCGAGAGCGCGATACCAGAACACTCCTGGGGGCGCTCTTGGTGCGGTTGTGGGCCTCTTCTGCTCCTGGGGCTCTCCCAGGCTCCATGTCCCCAAATCTCATCGGAAGCGGAACATGCGAGAAGACGCAATTCACTGATTTCTTTGGGTGCTTGTGTGGTTTTGGGCCTCTCCAGGGCGTCCTTGGGAGGCTCCGGGGCCACTGGGGCCATCTTGGAGGGGCCTTCTGCCTCTTGGGTGCGGCTTGTAGGCCGTCCTGAGTTGCACTGTGCAGTATTGGGGGTGCATGTTGGGCTATCTACAGCCATCCTGGACCCGTAGTAGTGTTCAAATTGCCAGCACAACCCTCCGTCCAGACCAAGGGCAGGGGGAGGGGGGGGGAACCAATGAGTTGCGTGCCCACTGGATCGTACTGTCGCCCCCCCCCATGGAGGGAGGACGGAGGCGGGGAGGGAGCAGTGTGGGGACGAGGGATGGCGGAGGAGGGACGAGGAGGACATGGGACGAAGAAGAGGAACGAGCAGGCAGCAGCAGTGTCGAAGCGTGGAGGGGGAGACAGGGCAGGGGAGATTGCTAATGCTCGGCGCTGTCTGCTTGGCTCACTGGCGTGCGGCGCGACAGACGTACCCGTGTTTTTGTTAGGAGGGGGCAGCGCCGCAGCGCGAAGAATCCAGGCGACGCCAGCTCCGGGCGCCAGGCGAGACGAGGCGCATGTCGCCCTCCTCTCCACTTGGCGCTGCTCGTCCCCCCCGCCTGTTGGGAGGAGAGGCCCCCGTGAGGCCCCAAGGAAAGCAAATTGGGTCCCACCCTCTAGGTGCTCAGCTGCCCTGATACGCCTTTTTTGACACGCAACACGTGTCGTGTTCAAAACGTCCGTGTTGACGTGTGGGCCTACGTTTTGGCGAACGTGTCGCAACAGACCTACGCATTCAGTCCACGTGCTGCTCCGTGTCAGCGCGCTACGTGTTGCGTGTCGCGTACCAGGCCAGCCTCGCTGTGTGTGTGTGTGGGAATATGGGGCCCAGGAGGAGACCATGACGCCCGACCCTCCGGAGACTTGCGACATCCTCGCCGCAGGGCTGGCCCGACGACCGCAGGAGACACCCGAAGACACCCGCAAGCACAGCACAGCTCCTAGCCTCCTCCCTCCTTCTCGCGCCGTCCCCCGCTCCAGCTTCGTCGCCCTCGACAAGAACGAGGACGGGGTGCTCGACATGGCCGAGCTCTTCCCCAGGTCGGCGGGACGCCGACTGCACGCCCCCAGCGCTGGTCCTGGCTGGCCCGGCCCGTTCCTGAGCCCAGGGTCGGCCGGCGTACGGTGGAAACCCATGCCAAGAAACACCCTGCTTGCCTCTAGACTGCCCTGGGTTTCTGGGATTTCCATGGTTCTGCCATGGGAGCCGTAACTTTCCCGCGCCAGGAATCAATGGACGTCCTGGGGTCTCGGGGTTGAGTTTCTCGTGGAAGGTTTCTTGTGGACTGGTCTCCACTGTACAAACCTTCCTTGGCAACCAGGCCCCAGAGAACAGACCACTGCAAGCCAGGGCGTCGCCAAATCCACCCGGCGGAAACGGAGAGCGGGGGTCGTTTTGACACACGGCTGCAGCTTCTTCGGGTGCGCCAACGTCTTGGTTCACCAGACATCGCCCGCTTACGGGGCTCTGAAGTAAGCCCGTAAGTTTGGCCGACCTCTGACACAATCACACACGCGACTGTCGCTCCTGGCCCATCTTCGTTGCAGGACCTCTTTCTCTCTCTCTCTCTCTCTCCCTCTCTCCGGACGGACCGATCAGAGAGGGCCCCGGGGCCTTTCGCGGAACGACAATGGCCTGCGGTTTTGTTTGGGATGTTCAGACGCGGAGATCTGAGAGCACGCGTGGTACAGTTGGCACAAGGATGGAAGATGAACCCGGAACGATCCCCTATTGCGGAAAGTTTCATATTGTTTGGGCGTGCCGCGTGGCATTGTTTGGCATCTTGCTTGGCGTATTGCTTTGCAGATTGCTTGACATTGTGTGGCATTGCTCGGAGTTGCCTGGCATTGCTTGGCGCGGCATTGCGTGGCATTGTATGGTATTGCGTGCCGTTGGGTGGCATTGCGTGGCATTTCTTGGCATTGCGTGGCGAGGCAGCACGTAGCCAAAACAAAGGAACCAAGGCCGAGGAACCGACGAACCAAGACCAAGGCGCCAAGACCAAGGAGCCAAGGACCTAGGCTCAAGAAACCAAGGAACTAGGATCAACGAATCAAGACACAGGACTAAAGAATCAAGGCCAAGGAATCGAGGAACCAAGACCAAGGTGCCAAGTCCAAGGAACCACAGAACCAATGCAAAGAGACCAGGGAACCAACACCAAGGAACCCCGAGGAAGGCAACTGTAAGGAGGCAGGACCAAGGACACCCGAGAAACGACAAAACAGCCCCAGGGAAGGCCACTGCAAGGAAGCATGCCCAATGAGCTCTGGGGATGGCCTTCGTAAGGAGACATGACCAAGGAGCCCGAGGGAAGGCCGGCGCAAACTGGGGGCCGCACCCATTGGCTCTGCAAGGGGGCCGCACCCATTAGCTCTGCAAGTGCAGGTTATATATATATACACACCTATACGACCACCCTTCGGGTGATAAGGAGGTGAGGGGGGGGAGGGACCAACGTCGCACTCGATCGATCTCACTATCGAGCTCACTACCGATCTCACAATCGATCTCAATCGATCGATCTCACAATCGATCTGACTATCGATCTCACAATCGATCTCACAATCGATCTCACATTCGGTCTCGCTATTGATCTCACGATCGATATCACCATCGATCTCACATTCGATCTCACTACCGAACTCACTTTGGATCTCATTATCGATCTTACATTCGGTCTCACTACCGATCGCACTATCGATATCACAACCGATCTCACAACCGATCTCACATTCGGTCTCACCATCGATCTCACTATCGAACTCACTATCGATCTCCTTATCAATCTCAACCGATCGATCTCACAATGGATCTGACTATCAATCTCACAATCGATCTCACAATAGATCCCACAATCGATCTCACATTCGGTCTCACTGTCGATCTCACGATCGATATCACAACCGATCTCACAATCGATCTTCCATTCGGTCTCACAATCGATCTCACTACCGATACCACTATCGATCTCACAATCGATCTCACAATCGATATGACACTCGGTCTCACGCTCGATCTCACAATCGATATCCCTATCGATCTCACTATCGATCTCACATTCGACCTCACTATCGATCTCACTATGGATACTCAAAATAAAACGCCAACATCATCATCACCATCATCATCAACAACATCAACATCAACATCAACATCATCATCATCATCATCATCATCATCGTCGTCGTCATCATCATCATCATCATCATCATCATCATCATCATCATCATCATCGTCATCATCATCATCATCATCATCATCATCATCATCATCATCATCATCATCATCTTCGGGACACCGACGGGACACCGACGGGACACCAGCGGGACACCAGCGGGACACCGCGGGGCCCCGGCCGCCCGGAAGGGAGACATTTGATTTGGCTGCGCCTCAGCCACACGGGACACCAGCGGGACACCGGCGGGACACCGCGGGCCCCCGGCCGCCCAGAAGGGAGACATTCGGTCCGGCCGCGCCTCAGCCACAGGAGACTTTCTCTCGCCCGCCCACGCAGCTTCGCCTCGCCCGCACGGCACGCACGGCACGCACGAACACGAAACCGAAATCGATTTCCCGGTAGGGGGGCTCTCCGTTCCACTTCGATCTCACCCCCTCACCTCCGATATATACATGTGTATATATATATATATATCGCCTTACGGAAAGTCCCACTGGGGAGCAGACGTTGCTACGGAGTTGGCGCCCTGATGTTCCTTGCCTCTCGGCGCTCAGCCTTGGGACGTCTTCAGTCTGGGGGTATCTCCGTGGGGCCTTGGGCCTGTGGCGAAGGGGCTCGTGCCCGTGGCCTCCACGCCCTCGTGGCCGCGCTCGCGGCTGGTGCGCCGCTCCTGGGGCCCTGGATCGGGTGCTGCTGGAGGTGGCCCGGGGCCCGAGGTGTCCTCGGCTTCTCCCGCCACTTGGGAGCCCGGGGGGGGGGGGGCCCTCTCGGCCTCGTTGGGGGGGTGCCCTGGAAGCCACCTGGGCCTCCCTGGAGACCCGGGGGACACCATGGGCTCCTCCCCCTCCTCCTCCTCCTCCTCCTCCTCCTCCTCGTCCTCCTCCTCCTGCTGCTCCTCCTCCTCCCCTCCTCCTCCTCCTCCTCCTCCTCCTCCTCCTCCTCCTCCTCCTCCTCCTCCAAGGGACATTTTCCTCACGGTGCACAGAATCAAGACGCCGTCTGCTCCGGGGTAATTACGGGGCCCTCAGCCCCCCTTCGACAGGCATGGGCCCAACTGGTTGCTGCGCGGCGCGTGCACGCGAAGAAACAGCGTCCACACTGCACACGCGTGCGCGCAGGGGCAGAGTGCGAGTGCGTCAGCTGCCACACCTGGCGCCCCAGGACCCCGCGAGGAGCCACACAGAATTGGATTACATCGAGGGCAGAAGAGCCCCTAATCCTAATGACATGACATAGTGGAGACGTGGTCTCACTGAGGTCCCCGTCTTCGCACTAGGGATGATACATCTGGGCGGTTTGATGTGGTACACCTGCAGGAGAAAGCCCCCCCCTATCCCTTATGTTTCTGGCCCTGCTTCTAGGGTTAGGGGTCCTGTGTTGGTCAATCATAGACTGCAGCTTCTGCGTGACCACACCCGACGGGAGGGAGGAGGAGGAGGAGGAGGAGGAGGAGGAGGAGGAGGAGGAGGAGGAGGAGGAGGAGGAGGACCTCCCTTTCCCCGCCGAGGGGGGCATCCTGCCGTGCGGCCGTCAGCACCCCGGACTTCTGGGGGAAGTGGTGCAGGCCGGGCCGCTCCGGGGAAGCCGCGGGGCGGCTGCTGGCGACGGCGGCGACCGCGGCCACGACGACGACGACTGCTCCTCCTGCCCGCCCCGCTCCCCCTCCTCGGAGGAGTATAGCATCCACCCCCATCCCTCCACCCTCTCTCTCCTCGTCCTCCTCCTCACCGCCCACCTCGCCTCGCCCTGTCCCTCCCCCCTGTTTCCCGAACCGCGTTCCGCCTTGCGCCCGTCGCTGCTACGATCCTCCTCCTTTGCTCCTTCCCCTCCCTCCACTCGCTCTCTGCTTGCATCACCTCGCACATCATGCATGCGGCATCGCCGCTGATGAGGCCGCAGGTCAGTCAGGCTTGAGAGGCGGACTTGTGCCTCAGCCCTTCGGGAGAAGTCATCCGTCACCAGAACAGTTGCTGGACAAATTACGTATGCGGCGGGGTATTCCTTACGTGCCCTCCCTTCTACTCTCCCTCTCTTGCTCCGCCATGTTTCCCCCCCCCCCCCCCACACTGCTCCTCATACCCTTCCTCCCCCCTTCTCCTCATCCGCCCCCTGCTCGTCTTGCGCCATCCTCCTTCGGAGGCGGAGGAGAAGCAGAGGAGGGGGATACCGAAGGAAGTGGAGTAGTAGTACGTGCACGAGAGGGAGAAGCACTAGAAATCAGACGAAGGGATAGCATGAGAGCATGGAGGAGGCGGACGAGGAGGTGGCGGAGGGGAGCATATTCAGAATAAAGTTGAAAACAGTAACACGCACAATAATAATAACACTAATAATCATATTATTCATACCCTGAAGAAGAAGAAAAACGCGAGAATGGAGGAGGACGAGGAATAGGAGAACGAGTGCAGTAAAGCGTCGGAACAGCAGACGCAGGAGCAAGCTGGTCTCAGCGAGAAGCAAGGTTGGCATGACGAGGAGGACGACGAAAAGGATGACTCAGAAGAGCCGCAGGAGAGGATAAACGAGGAGAAACGAGGAGAAACGATGAAGAGGACGACGGCGAGGAACGAATGAGAACGAGGACGACCATGATGCGGAGAGGAGCAAGATGGGCACGATAAGGAGGACGACGAAGAGGACGACGCAGGATGAGGCGCGGATCATGCTTTGGAGCGCCTGGGGGACTCGTTTCAATCTGCGTGGCGTAAGCGAGCTGGAGGCTCCACGGAGCACCAGACTAGACGGCGGCTTGAACGGAGGCCCGAAGGGGACGACGAAGAAGAACCGTGGGAGGAGACGGGGGCCATACTTTGGAGCGCCTGGAGGAGACGTTTCACTCTGCGTAGCGCAAGCAAGCTGGAGGCTCCACGTAGTATCAGACTATACGGTGGCTTGAACGAAGGCATGTCTCGGCAGTAGTGCTGCACGGGCGGAAGAGGAGGAGGAGGAGAAAGAGAAGGCCCCGACCTCCGACTACATGTTTTTTCGCGACGCCGACCCCTCCATAACTTCGACCAGCATCCCTTCTTCTTTCTCGGCCGATGTCTTTCGGATTGCCACAGCACAGCTCCCCTCGGAGCCACCTTGAGCGCCGAACGTGGCGGCCAGTACGTCTTCCAGACCTACCAGCCCTAAGAGATTTTCCGTTTCGTGCGCATCTGCTCGACGTTGCCTTTATCCAACAGGTGTATGCCGTGTTGCCGGCCCCCAAAGGCAAAGGAGGGTGCTTGCGGCTTCTAGTTCCGTGTGTGTTGCTCGCCGCGTCCGGTCGTGTTGTTTGCGTGCAGCGGTTCCTGAGGCGTCCTCCTCTTCCCTCGCGTCTGATGCACGGGTTCCTCGGGGACCTCTTGGAGGCCGTGGGGGCGATTGCTTTTAGTTCTGATGATGAGGAGTAAGCGGAGGCGGAGTAGGAGAAGGAGTAGGAGGAGGAGGAGGAGGAGGAGGAGGAGGAGGAGGAGGAGGAGGCGTAGGAGGTGTAGGAGTAGGAGTAGGAGTAGGAGGAGGAGGAGTAGGAGGAGGAAGAGTAGGAGGATATGAGGAGGAGGACCAGGAGGAGGAGGAGGAGGAGGAGGAGGAGGAGGAGGAGGAGGAGGGTTGGATCGGATCGGATCGGCTGTCCTCGAAGGAAGGGTGAATGCCCTTTCTGCCGGGTAAGCGCCGAGATTTTGGGCCCGACGGTCGGGGAGGGCCCCGCAAAAAGGGCCAGGGGGCAGCCGAAGGATCAAAGCCCCGAGGCGGTGTCCAAGACAGACGCCACACACACACACACGAAGATCGACTGATACAGAGATCGTTTTCTTAGTCATTGATTTGCCGATCGGCGCGGGCCCCCGCACCCCCCACCGTCCCCCCCCCTGGAGTAGAGCTTGGCTGTGTTTGGCGCCTGTTTCGAGCAGGTGGAGTCCCTCTTCCATAGGACGTACAGGTGCAATCAGTCGCATGAAGCAGGGGTCTGGAGCCAGACCCCCCCCTCAGAACCCCTTCCGCCCGATGTCGAAACGCCGAAGACGAAAACGTTCACCTTATCTCCTCCCTCCTGCCTGACGAGCATCTTGTGCCTTTTCCGAAGCCAGCGCTCCTCGCGGCCATGCGTCGCTGATATGTGCATATTGCATTGTATCTTATATACATACATGTATTCAGGTATGCTGTCGTCTGAAGACAACTAGGGTTGCCGTGCCGTCTCTGCGTGGAAAATTCGGTTGAGCTCAATCTACTAGCCATGAGCCCGCGCGGAAGATTACAGACGCATTGCAATGCAATCGACATTCTGCATTGATGTGGGAAGCTGTCGAGCTGCGAGACCTGGCAGGAGAGGCGACCCAGCCTGGCGCCCTCTGCACAGGCAGAACGACAAGCTCATCCGCCAGGGCGAGCGGCTGGCGAAGTGGCACGCGGAGGACTCTCTCGCCTCTGGCGCCGCCGCCTACGCCGCCGCCGTCTTCGCCGTCTTCCAGCGAAGTCAGTCAATGACCCCTTGTCAGGGCTCGTTTCGATTCCTCCGATTCGACTCGATTCGATTTCGGTGGCTTCCGATTCCGATTCGATTCGACTTGGGATTCCGAGTTTGGTTCCGATTTCTCATTTACCAGCCTGCCGATGTCTACCGATTCGACTTTTCCGCACTCGGCTTCCGGTTTCTGCCGATCCGATTCATGTCGATCGCCGATCCGATTCATGTCGATCGCCGATCCGACTTATCGATTCGATTCCGGGCTCGCCTGCCCTGTGCGAGGAAAGCTCGGCAGAGGCCAGATGGTCTGTCACGGGATGTGTGGAGCGGCATGGGTCTCAGAGGCAAGGTCCGCCGCAGTCCCCGCCACAGTGATCGACGCGGAGATCCCTATAACGTGCATCAGGGCTGGACCTAATCGCTTTTTGCTGGACTTCGGCTATGCTTTGTTTTTCTTGTTGGCAGAGAGGTACACGAACAACAAAACGAACACAAAACGAAAAACAACGTTTATGTCCAGCCCTGACGTGCACCTCGTTTCGTTGATAGCGTGGCCGCGGGTTTCTGCCGACGAGTTGTTTTATTCGTGTGTGAGAGAGAGAGAGAGAGAGAGAGAGCGCGTGGCCGAGCGGATGAGGGGCACGGCGACAACAGCGACGATGACGGTGGGGGCCAAAGAAGACAACAGTGATGACTCACATACGGCGGGGGCATTGGATAAGGAACCCTTGGATAAGGAATCCAGGGTCTGGAGAACGGTGGAACTCCAATCGAGGCTTGGCCATGGATATCACCGCCGCCCTCATCCGATAAGGAATCTTCCAGGGTCTGCAGCCTCCTGGGCACATTCCTTCACGAGCGCCCCCACCGCACAGGCCGCGATCCGGCCTCTTTGGAGCCGTCTGGGGCTCTGAGGTGGCCCAGCATTAGTGCCGGCCAGCAGGAGGGGGGGGGGGGGCAGGTTAGAGTCGCTGGGTTCGGGAAGGTTGTACTGCTTGTTCGGCTTCGTGTTCCTTTTTCGAGCACTGGGACAGTCAAACATTGATCTGGGGTGGGAATTGCGCCAGATGGACTCCAGGAGGGGTCCGGGATCAGATTCTGAACGGGTTTGGCTTCATCCGCCGTCCTGGCCGATTTTCTGGGGTCCCAGCCATTTCAGACCCATTGGCCGCCTCGAAAGGCCTCTCCCCTAGCCCTCGTTGCCGCGACTGGGAGACGGCAGGGGCATCCCAGGAAGGGGGGAGCCCTCCGTCATCAATCCTTCTCCCTCTTCCTATTCGATATGTCCCAGGGAACAGGTCCAAACCTCCGGGGGTCCACGTCATGAACAAATCATGATGTCGGGGGTCTGGGTCGTCATCGCTGGTGCCGCCGCAAGCGTCGTCACCGCCGCCGTCCGCCGTCGCCGTCGTCGTTCGGACGGGCTCGATGTGTACATCACGTCATTTGGTCGGCTACGGAGCCAATGAGCTCGGCGTGGGAGTTCGGTGTATAGACGCTCCAGCGTCCCACAGGTAGCGGGTGCGTCTGTGCGTCGACGTGGTATGTACACGTCGTCGTCACCACCGTCGCCACCGCCGTGGTCGCTGCCGCACGAAGGACCCCGACGAGGAGATCACGCGGATGCTGAAGAGGGTCGAGGACGTGGCGCTCTGCGGATGCCTCTCGCTCCTCCTCCTCCGTCGTATGGCTCCTGCAGCCCAAGCAGGCGAGGCTGGCAAGACCTGCCGCTCCTCGAGCACACTCCCCCGAACAGTTGTTTGTGGCGCTGAGGGTTCCTCCTCCCCTTCCCCCTCGCCTTCCACCGCGCGTGCTCTCGTGCGCAGGAGCGCGCGTGGAGGCTGAGGTGCAAAATAGGGGCAGCGCAGGCGGAAGTGGAGGAGGAGGGGTGAGGAGGTGGAGGAGGTAATCCTCCTCCTGATCCTCCTCCCTGTTTCGGTGGTACGCGACTTTCTACGCCTCCTCGTCGCTGCGCGCGAGGCGGGGACGGCCAAAAGTGTGTGTGTGTGTGTGTGTGTGTTTGTGTGTGTGTGTTTGTGTGTGTGTGTGTGTGTGTGTGTGCGTGCGTGCGTGCGTGCGTGCGTGCGTGCGTGCGTGCGTGCGTGCGTGCGTGCGTGCGTGCGTGCGTGCGTGCGTGCGTGCGTGCGTGCGTGCGTGCGTGCGTGCGTGCGTGCGTGTGTGTGTGTGTGTGTGTGTGTGTGTGTGTGTGTGTGTGTGTGTGTGTGTGTGTGTGTGTGTGTGTGTGTGTGTGCGTGTGCGTGCGTGCGTGTGTGTGTGGGTGCGTGGGTGCGTGCGTGCGTGCGTGCGTGCGTGCGTGCGTGCGTGCGTGCGTGCGTGTGTGTGTGTTTGTTTTGTGTGTGTTGTGTGTGTATGTGTGTGTGCGTGTGTGTGTGCGTGTGTTTGTGTGTGCGTGTGCGTGTGCGTGTGCGTGTGCGCGTGTGTGTGTGTGAATGCGTGTGAATGTGTGTGAATGTGTGTGCGTGCGTGCGTGCGTGCGTGCGTGGCTGCGTACGTGCGTGCGCCACAATCCCCCTGGCGCGCTCCGCAAGCCAGGAAGGGTCCAGCGCGAATCCATGTTTATGCTGTCTTTCTTTCTTCTGAGTGTGCGGGTAATACTCATATCCACATCCAGTGCGTCTTGGAGTTTTGGGTTCTCTGCCCCAGAAACCGGAGGCGCACTGTACATGGGTAGAAGTATGGCCCCAAAAGGCTCGATTTTCATACATATCCAGTGCGCCTCTGGATCTGGATATGAGCATTGCCCGCAATGCGAGCGGGTGGGGGGGCGATGGGGTGGAACGGTCCGCGCCCCTGCCCCCCCCCCGTGTGGGGAGGGCGCAGGCGACCTGGGCTCGGCTCTCAGGTGGTGGCGCGGCCTCCTAGGCCGCGACCGCCGTGCGGCTCGCGCCGAGCGCGGCCCGTCCGGTCCTCCCCCCCCCTCTCTCCCGGCTCTCTTGGGCCCCGGCCGTACCCCTGGATTGTAAGTCGGGCCTGTCCCTCTACAGGAGGACTGTTCAAAAATAGTCCAGAAATAGTCTGGGTACAAACTTTCTAAATATTTCAGATTGTTTTGCTTATTTCTCGACTGTGTTTTATTTTTTGTCCCAAATGCGCCTCTAGGAGGACACGCCCGACCTAACTCTTGCATGGTGCAGCGCTGCGAGTTGTGGCCAGTGAAGCACAGCGGGCGAACGGCTGGGGGAGGGGGGACCTCAGCGGGACCCAGAAACGGCAGGGTCGTTTTCTTCACTGTTTCCGACAAAGTGTTTCTTGAACATGGAAACGGCAAAGAAACGGCGACCAGAAAAGCAAAGCACACGATTCCAGGATTGGAAGCAGAGCCGGAATCCGGTAAAAAACGGCGACGGAACCGGCAAAAAATGGCAGAATGGAACTGGTAAATGAACGGCCTTGTCGTCTCCAGGGCCCGCCAGGGGGGGGGACAGAGGCAGAAGAGGCGAGAGAGGGGTGTGTTGGTGAGGGCCTGAGGTTCCTGAGGAGTGGATGGTAAGTGGGCCGATTAGGCAAGGTGCAGGTAGATGTCAAGGTCGTAGCAGTCGGGGATGCCTCGGTTGACGTGAAGATCAAAATAACACGTAAACTAGCAGAGGTGGACGCAGGCGTGAGAGGAGGCGGCTTGGTAGGCTGGCGGCGCCCTGCGTGACGCGCCCTGGAGTGGGCATGGGGAGGTGTGGAGTGTTGGAGTGCGCTGTTTCCGCAGCAGTGGGTGTGGATGCTCGCGCCTCCTCCCCCTTCTCCTCTCCAGAAGAGCCGCTGAAACTCAATAATCAAATACATGAGCAATTCCATGTTGGTTCTCGTCCTAGGATGGGCCCCTCCTCCACCTGCCGACGATGTGGCCCTGAGGGCCCCGGGAGGTCCCCCAAGAAGGCCCCCGACCCACCCCCGCAAGGAACAGGACCAGAGCGCCTCGGAGCGAAGGCGCATGAAGATGTGGATCCGCCACCTCAAGGCGCGCGGCCCCCTGGGACGCCCCCCTTGGCCGCGGGACATCTCGCAGCCGACGACGATGGCGGAGGCGGCGACGGCAGCGGCGGCTTGCGTACTGCCCTCGGATATGGGCGTTGCCGTCTTGTTTGCACCCCGCGTTTTCGCCCAGCACTGGGGCCCGGGGACCATCACGGGTCGATCTGGCTCGAAAGATGCCGCAGAAAGATGGGGCCTGCGGTTCTGGTCATGATGTTCCGCGATGCGGCCTAGTCTTGCCACGTCGGACTTCCGATTCTGAGCACGGCCGCGACGGCGACGAGGGAGACGAACACTGCGACGACGGCCGCCATGCGGTGAGGGCGGGATCCGGGGAACGCTCCTCAAATCCGTCGACCCTGTCGGCACGTGGAAGAGGCTGTTCCGTTTGACTCGTCTTCGTCGACGTCGTCGTCGTCGCCGCCGCCGTCGCCGCTCCCTCTCTTTCCCTGGGCCCGTCGCCGCCCTCCCCTTCTCCTGGGCCCTCCTCCTCGAGCGCGCCAGGACGGGGACGACGGGGACGACGACACCGCCGACGAGCCCGGCGGCGGCGACGACGGCGGCGGCGCCGTCGACGGATCCGACGGCGGCGGCGGCAGCGTCTTCTCGGCAGCAGCGGCGACGACGGCGGCCCTGGCGCGGCCGGGCGCGGTCGGGCGCCTCGTGCGGCAGGCGCCACGGAAGCATCGGGGTCCGAGGTTTTCGGCTCGGGAACGCTCGAGATCACAATCCTGACCGTGCAGGAGGGCTAACAAAGAGCACCAGGACGTCGACTTCCTAATTTCTGTCGAGGTTTGCGGCAGTCCAGGTCGATCTATGGGTCTGGAGTGCTATTTTCTAGACCCCTGGAAGGTCAGGGAAAAGGGGGGGGGTCTGATTTTGGGTGTGGGGCTGGTTTGAGATGTCTTGGAAGGTTCCGCGAAATCTGGGCAGAAGGCTTCTCTTTCGTGGCTGGCCTGGGGAAGTCCTAGGCAGGGGCGGCGCCAGACCTCCAACAGTTTATGTTGATGCCGTTTTTTGAATGCCTATCCTTGTTTATTTCCGACCCTGTTGTTCCTGCTTGGGCCACTGGGGGCCTTCTCGGACGTCTGGGGACGTCCGCGGTGGCCGCCCAGGAATCTTGGGGGAGAGTTTAGAGCCCGACAGGCGACCTCTGGAGGAAGCCAAAACGCAGGAACAAGAGCCGCTCTGGTTCTGGAAGTCCTCTTCCTCCTCCTTCTCGCCCTCCTCGACCTCCCCGAGTCGGCTGCAACGACGGTCTAGACTCCAGACCAGGGGAATATGATTTTGACTCCCTCGAAGACAGGCACCTGCCATACAGTAGACAGTCAACCCGCATACTGGTAAGCGCGAGCGACTTTTCAAGGTACCTTGCATCCTTCCTCTTCGGCCCATCCCTGGCAACTTTCACTGGCCAGCCGCACTTGAAAAACGTCAACATGGCTTCCCAAGGCCCTTGCGTCCTTTTCGCGCATCTTCACTTTTTGGGTTGACTGTAGACCCCCTCGAAGACGGACACCTGCCAGACTTCATGATCTGTGCGCGCCACAACACTGGCAGAGTGCCCCGACCACGCGCGGTTCTCGCCGATCTCCCCGCGCCTCACCCTTGAGAGAGCACGACCGCGCGGGACGGGACGAGAGCCCACAGCTCCTCCGGCGATGGGGCCGAGAGCCCCGGTTGGGCGTCGCGTCCCGAGGAGGCGACGGAGGAGGCGTTCCAGAAAGGGCCCCGCCCTCGAGGATCGGAGCCGTTGCCCTCTCCTCCTCGGCGGAGGGCGGCGGGAGGGCGGGGGAGGGCACGTCGCGGCGGCTCCGCCGGCGGAGGCACAGGTCGACCTCGCAAGAGATGAAGAAAAGAAACACGTTTTTGGGTTTCAGAGTTTCGGGAATCGGCCCCACGGGGGGGGGGGCAGCGAGGGCCGCAGAAGAGGGGCCCTTGAAGGCGCAGGGGCCCCAAAAAACGATGGGAAGCTGGCGGAGGCACAGGTCGACCTTCCAGGAGAGGAAGGAAACGTTTTTGGCCTCAGGGTTTTTTTTGGAATCGGCCACAATGGGGAGGGGCAGCGAGGGCCGTAGAACGAAGGAGCCGCTGAAGACGCAGGCCCCCCCCCAAAAAAAAGAAGAAAAAGAAAAGGGCCTTTGGGGCCCGAGGAGCGCCGCAGAAGGAGGAGGAGGAGGAGGAGGAGGAGGAGGAGGAGGAGGAGGAGGAGGAGGGAGGAGGGAGGAGGGAGGAGGAAAAAGGAGGGAGGAGGAAAAAGGAGGGAGGAGGGAGGAGGGAGGAGGGAGGGAGGGAGGCAGGGAGGGAGGGAGGGAGGAGGAGGAGGAGGCAGCAGCTCTCGGCTGCGGAGGCCTGGGCTCGGATCCCGGGGCGGAGTCTGTCCAGAAGCCCCCAGCCCGTCTGGCGGGGCCTCTCCCTCCTCCCTCCCCATGCTCTGCATATATTATCCCTCCTTGTTCCTCCTCCTCCTCCTCCATCCCTCCTCGCCCCTCTCTCCTCAGTCATCTCCCGTCCCTCCTCCACCTCCTCCTCCACCTCCCTCCTCAATCCCCCTTCCTGCTCCGCACGAGAAGCAGGATGAGCAGGAGGTCCTTCGCATGGACCAGTTACGCTCTTTGTTCCTCCGGCATCCATGATGTTCCAACCGCTGGCGACATAAAGAATATTCTTCGCCGATGGTCTTTGTGTGTGACAAGCAAAGGGTCGGAGGTCGGAGGAGGGGGGATGTTCGGTTGACGTCGGGCACGCGTGAATCAAGATCTCATGATGGCGATCTTGATGGCGATAGTGATGAAGAGGATGACGAAGACGAGCTTGACGACAACAATGCTGATGACGACGACGACGATGACGACGGTGATGATGCTGATGATGAGGATGAGGATTATGGTGGTGATGATGATGCTGATGATGATGATGCTGACGATCATGATGATGCGGATGCTGGAAATGATGATGGTGATGCAGCTGCTGATGATGATACTGATGATGATGCAGATGGTTACGATGATGTATGTGGTGGTGGTGATTATGGTAATGATGAAAGTGCGACGACCACGACGACGACGATGGTGGTGATGATGGTGGTGATGATGATGCTGATGCTGAAGATGTTGGTGATGATGAGGATGAAGATGATGATGCTGCTGATGCTGCTGCTGGTGATGATGACGACGATAAGGAGGATGGACGAGGAGGAGGAGGAGTTGGAGGAGGAGGAGTTGGAGGAGGAGGATGACCGCCCTCTCCTCCTCGCCTTCTTCTGATCCTCCTCCCCCATCTGCCTTCCCCCTCCTCCCCCCCTCTTCCTCATGCCTCGCTCCCTCCCTCTCTCCCTCCTCCCCTCAGGCAGGAGAGGGAAGGTGATGAGGAGGAGCCAGCGCGGGCCAGTCCAGACGAGCGCAAGCGGTGGATGGAGGAGGAGGAGGAGGAGGAGGAGGAGGAGGAAGAGGAGGAGGAGGAGGAGGAGGAGGAGGAGGATGATGATGATGATGATGATGATGATGATGATGATGATGATGATGATGATGATGATGATGATGATGATGATGATGATGATGATGATGCTGATGATGATGATGATGATGATGATGATGATGATGATGATGATGATGATGGAGGAGGAGGAGGAGGAGGAGGAGGAGGAGGAGGAGGAGGACGGGGGAGGAGGGGGAGGAAGAGGGTGAGGATGATGATGATGAGGAAGAGGAGGAGGAGGAGAAGGAGGAGGTGGAGGAGAAAGAGGAACGGAGGAGACTGCTGCTGCTTTCGGAATGAGCGTCTCCCTGATCTCGTGGAGGTCAGGGGGCGGGAGGAGCGGCGACACCCACCCCCCAGTCCGCGCCTCGGTGATCCTCCGCCTCCTCCCCCACGCGTGCTGAAGAGGCTCGCGAGCAGATATAATTGAACTGTCTCAAGCCGACCGTCGATGTTGTGGATGGTACGGACGCCGTCTGGAGGACCCTTGCGGGGGACCCTCCAGTGTTCGCTGTCCCACGGAGACCCCCCCCCCGCCCTGTCGGCAAAACCCTGGCGCCCCCCACGCCAGGCCGAGGGCGCCAGCGACGCGATGATCCGCAGGCTCTGCGCCTCGCACCTCCCGAAGGCCCCGCGCCCTCCGCCGGTGAACGACGAGGCCTGTGAGATCACAGGCGACGAGGACGTCGCCGACGAGGACGGCGACGCCGCAGCCGACGAGGACGGCGACGACGGCGAAGCCGACGAGGCCTGCGGACGGCACCGCCGGCGAGGACGGCCACGGCGGCGAGGATGACGACGGCGGCAGCGCCGCTGCAGCCCCCCGCCCTCCGTCGGGGGGGGGGGGCAGTCGCAGGACTCGGGGCGGCCCGCGCGGGGGCCGAGCGCCGAGCGCCGCAGGGCGCGCACCTCCCCGGAGGCTCCCGTGCCACCGTGGCCGTCGCCGCCGCTGTCGTCGCCAGCAAATGCGGCGCGCGGCGGCGTCGGCGGCGGCCTCGGCGGCGGCCGCGGCGGCGGCGGCGAGCGGGAGGAGTGGGAGGGCCGCCGCCCTCCCCGCCGCGCGGGGGGGAGGGCCGCGGTGTTGGCGGTCGGGGAGTATTTTTGAAGGTGGGGAGGGCCGCCGCGCGCGCGCTCGGCGAGCGTGAGTTTCGGACCCCCCCCCCCCTGCGGGGCCCCTGAGGGGGAGCAGAACAATGTAGACGACGACAGCGACGTCGGCGGCGGCGGCGGCGACGACGGCGAGATTGACGACGTCGATGACGACGAGGAAGGTGACGGCGACCACGCCGTCGATGGTGGCGATGACGACCACTTCCACGTCCACGGCGTCCTCCTTGACTTTGTTTTGGAGAAGTAAGAAGGGGAGGAGGAGGAGGAGGAGGAGGAGGAGGAGGAGGAGGAGGA